ACGCCGCTTGTCGACCCCTGCCACATAAGGCGGAAGGGAGAGAGAGGGGGTTTAGGAAAGGCTGGCAAGTGCATGCACCATGCATTGATGAAATGCAATGACACAACAGCACGGAAAGCAACAGTGAACGAGAGGGAATACCTGGAATGATGTAGTCTGTGTCCTGTGCCCTGAACAGGACCACGAGAGACTCGAGCCACTCAAGACACTGTCTGTGGCGCTCCGCTCTCCCCAGCTCCCACTCGTCAGGCATGAACAGCCGCACTCCCACCAGTGAGTCCAGGTCCTTGAACCGTGTGCTGAGGTTTTCCACGAGCGTCTCGGCGAAGGTGGTGCAGAGATCGACGCAGCCGTCGTGGGAGCCGAGGGTCGGGTAGTCTTCGTTCGGCGTCTCGTGCAGCACGAAGGTGTGTGTCGTGGGCCGCCCGTCCGAGTCGACTCCCTCCACCTTCACCTCGGGATTGCCCCCCTCAGGCCCGTGCTTCTTGATGAACGGGGAGAGGCGCGCGCTCACCCCGCCTCCAAAATCGTCACCACAGTCGACGTAACGGGACTCCAGAAATGAAATCGACCGGCGGATCTGCCCGTGGACACTTGCAATGTCCAGCTGTTCGGGGTCAACAGGGCGAACATAGGATGGAAAGAAGGCAAAGTCAGTGTGTAGTAGGATATGCATAAACAGTACATCAAACGGTGACTCACAAACCGAAACAAGGCACACAATCCTGCAACGATAGTAACCAAGCTCACCTCACGCTGCTGGAATGCCCTGTTCAGTACATTGAGCTGCTCGAGCACGTCTGCAAGGAAGTATAGCAGAAAGTGAAACCTGTAGCTCGTGGCGAGCTCGTAGAGGGTGCTGTCCCACTCATACAGCATCACGATCAGCGCGGGGAAGACCTCTACCGCGCGCAGAATCGCGTCACCGCGGGAGAGCCAGCGGACGTCGTGGATCCCTTGTAGCTCCAGGTTCGTTTTCGTGAAGACCTCCTGCAGGCCAATGAAGCGTTGGTGCCACGGCCCAGAGCGCCCCAAATGCTCTGCCACTTGGCGGAGCAGGGAGTCCACCATCCCGAACTCGGGGAGGTCTTCAGCGGCGGCCTTTGCTGCGAGGGCCTCCCTGCATGCACGAGAGCATTAAAACCAGCACAAGGAGGGGTTAGCAACGGATGCAGCAGGGACTCTGTGGAAGCAGTAAAGAGCATGTAAGAACTGACCTGTGGGCGATGCAGTGGCTCGAAACGAGATGCGGGATGCGGAGGCGAAGTCGAGCGACAAGGCCGTTGTGTTTACCCATCATCACACTTGCTCCGTCAGTGCTGATGCCGGATATCCTCTCCAGTTCAATGCCTAGGGCCTGCAGGTGGAACAGGAGCACTGAGAGGAGAGAGGCTGCATCGCCCTTCTCCACGGTCAGCAGGGCAAGGAACTCAGTCACGGGACGATTTTCACGGATGAAAGTCGCGAAAACAATCATATGCTTTCCCCGACACCTGTCCGTGCTTTCGTCGCACGTGACGCCAATGTATGGGCTGCTCAGGATGTGCTGCAGTTGCGTTGTGTGCAACCATGTGGCCATCGACTGCGTCAGCTGCCCGAAGCCGTATCTGCAGCGCATGTCAAACAACACAATGTCAGATAATTCATTTGAGCGACAGAAACACGGTTGCAGTCTGATTAATTCAACACCCACGTAGTATAATAGGTTCCGTAGCCTTTTGCCGGGAAGCCTGGCACCTTGAGTCGCGCGAGGTAGCGCACAAGATTCACCCATAGCTCTATGGGTGCATCTTGCTTGGTCACGAAGAGCAGGGAGTCGAGGAGCTTGATGACACGCTCCTTCTCCGTGTCGCGAGCGAGGTTGTCGCTATTGATCCGTGGCTGCGTAGCGGCGTCGTCGAGAAGCTTATGCTGGTGTTTCAACGCCTCCTTGTGCTTGGTAGTTGCCGAATGCCGTTTGAACGCCTGCGTTTGAACGTCGGTGGCGCCCTTTCCGCCTCTCCCGCACGGTCCAGCGTAGCCTGCGTGCTCCGTACAGATGCTGCACTTGAAAGCAGGGAAACCGTCAGCTCTTTTAAGCAAAATAAGCCAAAAAAACCGGTCGAGCCACTCGCTCTTGTACTTATACAAAGCCTCCGCGTAAGTTGCGTCTGGCCCTGCCGGTTTAGAAGGCCCAGGTGTTGAGGGCGACGCATGCGTGTCTGCTGCCGCGGGCGTCGACCGTTGGTCGGCTGGCGAAGCCGGTGTTGCACCAGCGGGACTTCCCTTCTTGGCCCACGGCAGCGTTGACTGCGTGTACCTGGCGGATTTCTTAGCCACTTGCACCGCCGCGATTTCTTCACCTGAAGGGTTGGAGCTGTCTTGCTCCAACACGGGCGCAGTAGGGGAGGGACACAGAGGCTCGTCGCAGGGTTCAAATGGGATATTGACGGTCGGCGCGACTGCAGGCGCCTTTCCATTGTTATCTACTGCCGCTAAGTTGGAGAATAGCAGATCCAGTCCGGTAACCGCCGCGGACAGATCAACTGGCGAACGACGAGCGGGTTCATCGTCGTGGTCATCAGGTCGTTCAATGGCGTCCGGGTGGTCCGCCATTGGCTGCAGCGCAAACGAGCAGCATCTAACGGCACTACCAAGCTAGCCTAACGGAGGTTTGCCAGGAAGAGAGAAAACACGGCTGAATGCCTCTTGGTACACCAGGCAGCAAAACGTTGAAACCTTACACATGGAAGGGAAGCCTGGAGCAGACTGGGGTGGGAGACTGGATGGCTGGTAGCACAGCAGGGCGGCGTGGATGCATCCGTGCTTGCCAGCACGACTTCGACAAAACGGGCCACAGGACCACAGGTGCATCACATGGGCCTGAATCCCTCGTTGCGCTGCCTGGCAGCATCGCTGTGCTGCAACCCCGTAATTGGCCAAATCAGGAAATAGCTGTCAAATTGGCCAATCATCGCAGCACGCGCGCCAACAATGCATCCCTGGTCGAGGGCAAATTTGTCTGCTACTCACCGCCACGCCTTGCTGAAACCGCGGGAATCTGATATTCCCAGTACAGCAGGGCAACTACACTCGGACCGTGAAGGAATCGCTTTCAGGGTCGGATTCGTTACAACGTAGTGGCATCAGTGTCACTTAGAAAAATTTCCTGGAATTTCAGAGTCATGTGCTAGGTAAAGGCTGAAAAATCAGCCCCACAAAAAGCTGAACACTGGAAAATCAGGGTAGCTAAAAAAAAATCCCTGGAAATCAGGAATTTCAGGGAAAAATTCCTGATATCGTAGGGCCTGACCGTAATATAATGGCGAAAAGGGTTTTGGCGGAAAACGGGCATTATTGTTTGACGACTTTGACGGGAAACGATTTGGGAGACAACCTTCGGATGTGTCCTGCATGTCCCGGGGCACGTTTCCGAAATGAGCTTATTTATGTACAGTCTCACGTCAAGCGGATTTCGTATGTTAAAAGTTCTGTTACATGCTTATTTATGGTAACTGAGCTGAAAATTAACCATACATAGGCAAAGTTTGACCCGCCCTTCTTACTGACAAGGAGCAAGGAAACCACGAAGTTCCAATTTGTAGATGGGAGAACAGAGTGAGAGTTCGGAATGAGAAGGGATAATCTGCGACCAGCAGGCAGGACCAGAGCAAAGATGTGCAGCAGCAGAAAGAAACTCTCTAACAACATTGAGAATCTCTTCTCTTGCTGGGCAAGACAGTCCAGCTTCCAAGTCAATATATGATGCTCGGTGACAAGGGAGGGCGGCACTTCAGCTGCATGTCAACTGTCTACCATTGAAATGCCTTTTTTTCGAAGTGCCTAACTGGGAAGATGAGCAAGTGCTGCAGGAGCAACAGCGGGGGCAGAGGTGTGGGGAGGAGTGGGACTGGCATGCTTGGGCAGCATGGATGGATGCATCTGCATGTGCATGTGCATGTGCATGTGCATGGGGATGGGCATAGGCATGGGTGCATGCATAGGAGCATGCATGGGCGATCGGATGGGAGAAAAGGCCAGAGCCGGATGCAGCAGGTGAGGCTGGGGATGGTTAAAGGGGCTGTGGGGATGGGGGAATGGTATGGATGCATGGGCCGCGTGGAGAGGGGGCCCTGGAGTGACAGGAGCAGACTGAACGCCAGACTGCTGCTGCTGCTGCTGCTGCTGCTGCTGCTGCCTGGGTGGGGTCTGCAGGAAGTGTGGGTTGAATTGCTGGGGCTGCTGCTGGAGGTGCTGCTGGGGATGCTGATTCGCATGTGTTGGTGAAAGAAGCACCCCTGCAGCTGCTGCTCCCCCCTCTCCTCCTCCTCCTCCTCCTCCTCCTGCTCCTACTTGACCCCCTTGGCTTCCCTGACTTTCTTGACTGGCTTGACTGGAAGCAGTTGAGTCACCTTCAGGAGGGGGGGACGATCCCAGCACTGCAGGTGCAAGACTAGATCCCGATACAGTATGCAGTGGAGAGGGGTGAGGAGCAATGGAGTGCGGTGCAGGACCCACACCATGAGGAGGGAACTCGTGAGGGGGGATGGGGCCATGGGGGGGCCGATTAGGGGAACCGCCAGGCGGAGGAAAGAAATGCAGAAGGGGCCGGTCAGGGGGGTGAGCGCCAGGGAACAGGGGAGGGGAGGAGAAGGGGGAGGGGGAAGAGTGGTTGGGGGGATGTGGAGACAAGTGGTGTGGCAGGAAGGCGAATGGGCCTCTGGAATGGGAAAGCATGGGGTGAGCGTACATGCCAGGAGGGGGGGGACCTGGGGGCGGTATGCCTTGAGGAGGGGTATTTGGGGGAGGCATTCCTGGTGGAAGGATGGGTGGAAATGGCATGCCTGGAGGGAAGGGAGAGGGGATGAGTCCTGGATGCTGTTGGATAGGTGCATGGGGATGCATCTGCTGTTGCTGCAGTCGCTGCTGCTGCTGCTGCTGCTGCTGCTGCTGTTGTTGCTGCTGCTGCTGCTGCTGTTGCTGCTGTTGCTGCTGCTGGTACTCAGGAGGTCGGCCCGGCTCTAATGGGAGCCAGGGCGGTGGGGCACTACCAGGCACAGCATGTGAGTAAGAATCGCCCATAGAATGGGCAGCCTGAGTGAATGGCGGCTGATGGGGATATGGGGGCGGCTGGGATTGTGGAGAGGGATGGTGCGAGAGAGAGAATGCATGGGCGGATGGGGCTGTGAAGAGGGCGATATGGATGGGTTCACTGGGAACGGCATGGGGAGGGAGGGAGGAGAGGTAGGTTGCTGTTGCTGCTGCTGCTCCTGCTGCTGCTGCTGCGGCTCCTGCTCCTGGTCGTGTTTTTGCAGTTCCGTGTTACCACTGTTCAGCTGCTGCCCTTGGCTGCCGGGACCTTGCACGCTTCCCTTTCCACCCCCCTCCTTCTGCTCCCCCAAGCCCCCTTCCTCTCCTGCATCATCGCACAATACTCCACCCATATGTAACGCCTCAGAACCATTGTGCACCTCACCAGTGCCAGCAGCCACTACCCTAATTACACCCACACACTCATTGTTGCTAATGTTCCCTTTCACAGCAGCCGTCCCCTGCTCCTCCTTTCTCCTGCTCTCCTGCATCACATTGCTCTCATCATTCCTATCCCCCACTGATGTTTGCTTCCCTACCTGCTTTGACTCCTCAGCAGTGGCAGCAGCAGCAGCACAATCAGCAGCAGGTGGTGCGGGGGGGTTGGGGGTGCTCTGGAGGAACCCAAACAGCCGCTTCACAATGCCAGGTTTCTGCATTTGCTGCTGCCAAGGCTCTTGCTTTGCCATCTCATTCCTCGCTTGCAGCGCATCTACAGAGCTGCTACTGTCTCTTTCTCCCTCCTCTCGCCCTTCTACTCCTTTTGCTGCTGTTCCTGCTGCTGCTGCTGCTGCTGCTCCTGGTGATTTTGCTCCTGGTGGTGTGGCATCCCCAGCACCCTTTGCTGCTACAGCTTCACACGAGCGTTGTTCACTCGCCTGCTTGCCTTCTTCCATATCACTCTTCTCATCCCCACTCTTACTGCCTGCATTTGCAGGCTCACAAGCACCTGCTACTGGCAGCTTATCCCCAGCGCCTGCTTCTTTCTTCTTACCAGCGTCTGATCCCATCTGCTTATCCACACCTGCTGCCATTTCTTTAGCAGAAGCAGCAACAGGTGATTTCGCATTCTTCTTTTCACAAGCAATCTCAACACCACCTGCATCGGCATTTGCTTCTGCATCTGCAGGCACACCCACTCGCCCATGCACATACCCGTTGCTATAGCCACCACCGCTACCAGTCGCGCTGCCCTTTTCTTCCTTTACTCCCATCGCCACGAAACCTCCCGTACCAGCAACAGAACCATCAGCTGCTTCTGCTGCAGCAGCTGCTCCTTCTGCAATCACAACATCTCCTTCTCCTCCTCCAGCTGCTTTCCCACCTCCCGCTCCTACCTGTGCCCCGCCTGTCAGCAGCGACAGCAGATGAATCGAAGCAGCAGAGGCCCCTCCCAGAGCACCTCCGTCAGACCCATCCCCCACTTGAGCTGTACCTTCACCAGCAGCCAGCAGTCCAGGGACCAGCAGCTGCCCCAGCCCAGGCGCATGCTGGGCCTCGGAGCTGACAATGCTGTCAGCACTGGCAGAGCCAGCAGCAGAATTGATGGATTTCAAGTGTTCCTCCTGCCCCTGCCCCTGCCCCTGCCCCTCGGCTGACTGCAGCAGTGACGCCTCTATTTCCGCCAAGCTCTGCCACTGCACCGTTGATGGCATCACTGGCAGTGGCCCCCCTACACCTCCAGACCCTACCGTCACCCCTGAGCCCGACCCGTCTGCTTGCACGAGCTGACCTGGAGGACCCTGGGAGGACAAGGGGAAAGGAAACGGCAGGGAGATGCCAGCAGCACCGCCACCAGTCCCACCTCCCCCTCTCTCAATGTCTTCCAGACTCGGTCCCACAGGCATGGGCAGAGGCACAGGCAGAGGCATGTTTCCAAGGTTTAGGGTAGGAGCAGACGAGTGGGGGCCAGGCTGGTGCCAAGTCCCTGCTGCTGCCCTTCCGCCCCTGCTGTGATTGGTGGTGCTGTCAATGCTGGTGTTGATCCTGGTGTTTGCAGGTTGAGAAACCATAGGCACAGATGCTGAAGATGACGTTTGATCAGGAGAAAAGAGGCTAGAGAGGGGTATGCTCCTGCTCTCAAAACTGCTGCCAAAGCCAGCACCAATGTTGCTGCCGCCACCGCCTCTGCCGCTGCTGTGGCCACCAGTGCTGCTGCTGCTGCTGTTACCAGTGACTCCCACGCCTGCTGCAGATGCAGTTGGGGCAGCTTGCTGAGAGAGAGCTTCTAAGAGTGACTCAATGGCTGCTGCATCGTGGGCCGCTGGAAGTGATGCCTGAATGCCTGCTAGGGGTCAGGCGAGGGGACGTGGGACAATGGAGCGGAAAAAAAGGCTTAGTTCAGCTGACTCAGAACATTTTTATTCTAACAAACCAAGTGGGAATTCCATTCACTCAATCCCATCTATTACAAACCACCTTAGGTTACTTTAAGAATGGCTTCTCATGTTCCTTCTGGTGGTGTCGATGGTGGTGTGTGTAGTCTTTGGGAGTGAATGCAGCAATAGCAGGTAGAGTGCAAAAAGGCTGGGAAAGCCACATGGCAGAAATGCGCAAAGGGCTGGCAAAACCCAGAATTCACAAGCAGGAGTGAGTGAGTGAGAAAGCACGAGAAAATACTTGGCAGTTGTGTGACTGAGGAAGGCATTCTGCTCGTGTTATTAGACGTCTTTTGAGTCAGACAGTGCAAGGCACTCTGCTCGTGCTATGAGACGTTTTTTTAGTCAGACTTTATCATCAAGGCAGGAGTTAGTGTGAGTGAGACATACCCGGTTGTTGTGCAGATGTGGCATGGAGCAGGGCACTCTGAATGCTTGCCAGCCTCGCTCCCAGCGTCTCCCCCTCTCCCAACGTGCTCTGCCAGGAGCCACAGACAGGACAAATATTCGGAAGGAACAGGTACCAAGAGCACAGCATTGATGCATGCTGAACTAGACCAAAAGAGCGGCTGGAGGATTACGAGGAGGTTTGGCACCATGTGTAATGCTGAACTAGACTCAGAAATAAAGAGGGAAAACTTGTTCGCCATAATCATTTGTGGCTCTTGGGATTGGTGAACAGCAGCGTTAGAAGCGGAACACTGGCCAATTCCAACAGCATCAGCAACCGACCGACCGACCGACTGACCAACCAAGCATGCCAAACTACACATACCGATTCGTAGCTCTTGGGATTGGTGAACAGCTGCGTCAAAAGCGAAACGCCATTTCCACTCGACGCATCACCACTCCCGCCCTTGCCCTCCCTCCCTCCCCCTCCCACTCCATTTCCAACAAACCCTGACAACCCCTCCCGAGAGCTCCCATCCATCACACCACCACTGCCTGCCTGCTGCTGCCCCTTCTTCTCCCCTCGCATCAACTCCAACAGGGCCTCTGGAGTTCCCCCCGCCTCTCCCCCCTCACCCCACAACAGAGCAGCAGCACCACCAGCAGCCTCCGCAGCAGCAGCGGCAGAAGCAGACAGAGACGAGCCAAGCCCGTTATCTTTCCCCCCACTCTTACTCGCATAACCCTCCGCCCTGCCCCACTCCCTCCCTCCCTTGACCTCCGCAAACCCTTTTCCGGATCCTGCTGCCCCCCACGTTGCTCCAGAGCCAAGAGGCCCAGACGACCAGTCAAGGCCGGGTTGACTGGTTTGACTGGTGGAGAATGCTGACGTGGGAGTCGATTTCTGAGGCGCCTCAAAAACAGTCGACCAGTCAAGACCGGGTTGACCGGCTTGACCAGTAGAGAACGCTGAGGTGCCAGTTCCACCCCCTGCCAAGAGCGCACCAAAGCCCATGCCTCCCCAAATTCCCCTCTGCTGAAACCCAGAATTAGTACCTAATCCCATGGCAGAACCCATGCCCGTGCCCGTGCCTGTGCCTGTGCTGCTGCTACTATAACTGTTGCCGCTGCCAGTGAGCAGCTTGGAAAGAGCCAAGGTGGCGTCAGCAGCTGAAGAAGTCGAGGAATCAAGCAGCAAGTCAGGGGCAACAGCTGCAACTGTAGCATCCCCTTCCGCTGCTTCTGCGGCAGCAGCAGCTTTGTTTTGCTTGTCAGGTGACGGACCAAAGAGGGATGATTCGGGAGGCAGGGACCAGCTGGGGGAGGCGGATCCTTCAGGGATAGGAGGGTTGGCGGGGGAAGGAGACATGGGAGCCTTGACAAGCACTCTCACTGCAGCATCATCCACAGAATCCATGGCAGGGGGATCGCTCAGAGCTGCAACAGAATCCACCCCAGACGAGCCTACCACCCCAGCATCTGCCTCTAGGTCTGACGCAAGCACACTACCGGACAGAGCCGGCCACCCACCCAGCGTGTCCCCTCCTCCTCCACTTGCTCCACCTTTCCCTGCTCTTCCTGCTGCGCTCCCAGCCCCTGCTGACCCCAACCCAGACCCAGCAAACAGGTCGTTCACAGAGAGACGCTGCCCTGCCTCCTCTCCTCCTCCCTTCCCCACATTAACACCACCCCTCTCGTCACTCAACGCATGCACGCCCGCGGCCGTGTTGGGTTCACGCTCGCGGTCTTCCTTGAGTTGATCCTTGAGTTGATCCTTGAGTTGATCAGGGTTTAGGGATGCTGACTGCTGCAGCTCCCTCTCCACGTCCTCCAGCGAGAGAGACGCAGAGGCAGGTGGAATCCCAGGTGGAGCAAACCCACTCAAAGAGCGCACCACTGCCGTTCCCTCAGAGCCAGCAGCAACACCAACACCCGCGTCCGCACCAACACCCGCACCAGAGCCTGCCCCAGCCATGATCCCTCCCAGCCACGCCACCAGCTTCTCTCCCTCGCCCCCTCCACCGGAGCTACCCACCCCAGGCACATCAGCAGCAGCAGCAGGTGCAGCAGGTGCAGGTGCAGGTACATTCACCTCCAGCACACCAGCAGCGGGAAAGCCAGGCGGAGCTGCGGGCGCCAGGCCCATGAGCGCCGCCACAGATGGTGCCAACACTGCTGCCAATGCCCCCCCTGCTGCTCCTCCTCCTGCTCCTGCTGGTAAACCAGCTGCGTTGCGCGAATCCAGATCCAAATCCGAATCCTCTGTGGCACGGGGCGATGCGAGAGGCTCTGAGTCGTCCTCTTCGGCTGCTGCGCCGCCCTGATACGCGGAGCTCCCCTCCTGATCTGCTGAGAGGGCAGGGGAGTCCCAGAGAGAGTCCTCATCGTGTCTCCTGCGCTGCAGCTCTGCCTGAGACAGCGGCGCCTTGTGAGAGGCCGCGCGAAGGGCCGCTGGGCCTGCAGTGCCTGCGGCGGCTGTAGCGGCTGTGGTGGTGGTGGAGGTGGGCGGGGAGGGTGGGTGAAGTCCGTCTCCCTGCTTCTGGTGCTGCGCCCTGCGGAACTGCTCGAACTCCTCTGTTTGGATGGAAGGCGGGGCGATGGAGGCAGGAGGGAGGTGAAAAAGGAGAAGAGGAGGAGAGAATGAGGAAGGAGAGATGAGGAAAAAATAGGGCAGGCGCGTCAGAAGATTGGGTGAAAAACGGACGTGACAAGAAAGAAAGCAGGCTAAGCGAGAGGAAAGGTGAGAACAGAGGGAAGAAGGGGGGGGAAGGGTGATAAGAGACAAAATGAAACAAAACGGGGAAAGGCGTGTCGAGACAAAAACACAAGAAAGAAGAGATTAGAGGTTCAAGAGAGACGGGAGAAGAGGATGGGAGAAATGATGGGGCTCAGCTCACCGCGGCGTCTCTTCTCTTCCTCCATCCGCCTGGCATCTCTGCTGCTCCCTCCGAAAGTCTCATCGTTGAACGAGTCCTCCACCATCAGTGGCGCCCCCGGCACGTAAGGCTTTACGCAGGCAATCATGCACGCCCACATGCACACACACACACACACAAGCAAGCAAGCAAGAATGCAAGCAAGCAAGGATGCAAGCAAGCACGCACGCAAGCAAGCAAGCATGCACGCACGCAAGCAAGCAAGCATGCACGAACGCGAGCAAACAAGAAAGCACGGAGACAAGCAAGCAAGCAACCACGCATAACACCAGAACAATGATCAATCAGACGTCGTGTCCATGAATAAAAAAAATCAGCAGAACAAGTCAGCTGCTCTGCATGGCTCTTGCATTCAAGCCTCACCTTGCGTGCAGAGTCATCCTCTCCTCGTGGCCTCTGTCTGGGCGCAGCACCAGACGCATATCCGCCATCACCGCCACCTCCTCCCCTCCCCATACCACCCCCAAACCCCCGCGCCCCCATACCCCGCCCATACCCCCCTCCCCTCTCTCCTCCGCCTCGTTCCCAGCCCCTGCCGCCCCCGCTTCCTCCTCCTCTTTCGCCCCTGCCAAGCATCCCCGCGGGTTGGTACCTGCTCCTGAGCCCATACCCCGGACCAGACCCCTCAAACCCCGGCGGAACACCATCACTGCTGGGCTTATCCGGGCCATACGCGTTACTGGCAGCGCCATATGGTCTACCGTACGATCCCCCCTGCGGACCAGCATGCGGAGCACCATAGGCAGCACCGTACGGCCTAATCCCAGGGCCAAAGTCGCCGCCAGAACCGCCAGCAGTGCCATCAGCTTTTCCCCCTCCTCCGCCTCCTCCCGCGCCTCCGCCTCCGCCTCCGCCTGGTCCCCCTGCGCCGCCTGCTCTCCAGCTGCTGCTGGCGTCAGATGCCCGGCTGGCAGGGGGGCCGGCGGACGAGGAGGCGGAGGAGGAAGACGGAAAGGCGGAGGGGGAGGGTCCGGTAGCGTCCTTGCTCCATCCTGCTTGGCTGCTGGCGCTGCTGCTGCTGTTGTTGCCCGTGGAGGAAGTGCGGTCGGGGAAGGCCCGCTGCTCGAAGAAATGCGAGCGGGAATTCGTGTCTGGACGAAAAGGGGAGGCATGGAATTAGGGTGAGAAGAGAATGAATTTCTCTGGTCACGTGGCATATTCAGGGGTAGTGCTGAGAGCAAGAGGGGGAAGCCACCACCTGTGAACCTGGATATAACGAGGAAGAAAAAGAAGAGACAGGTGAAATTCTGAGCTGGTTTCGTTTTCTTTTTCATGCCGCAGGATGAGGAAGCGTGCCGCGTCAGCACAAATCGCGTGACGCCACGGATCACAAGCTCACCTGTCTTCCAGCCAGGCTGCAGTCTCGTGACGACGGAACGCTCCTTCTCCCCAGGCGGACCAGCACCAACAGCAACTCCCGCACCAGCTGCTGCAGCACCTGAAGCTCCAACTGACTGAGGGCGAAGACCGCCAGGCACAACGCGACCACCCGCACGCTGATCCCCACCCTCCCCTCCCTGACTCTGCATCTGGCCCTGTCCTTGGGTCCGGTTCAGAACCTGACCAGGCTGGCCAGGGGCTGAGGGAAAAGCTCCATCGTGAGGGGATCTGCCTCCGGCTTTGTCCAAGATCGGACGGCCAGCGCCACGGCCTCCTGGCCCTGGGACGTTGTATGGAGGGGTTCCCCCGGGATACCTCCGACCGTCTCTCCCCCATTCCGGCCCTCCTTCGTACGCCTGTGGCGACCGGCCTTGGCTGATAATTCAAGTGGGAGGATGGAAGAAACGAGAGTAGCAACTTGCTGTCTGAGGGGAGACAGACAAAGAGAATTTGGAGGCATCAAATTCAACTGGTCCGGTCGAACGTGTGTGCGGAAGAAAATGAGATATTCTACGGAAGTTTAACAGAATGATGCGGCGGCTGAGTATTCGTTCCAGTCGCGGAGGGGTGGCCCATGAGCGCCTTGGATTGAGGCTTCTCAAAACTAGATCTCACGGAAGTCTGACAGAATGATGTGGCTGCGTACTTGTTCCAGTCGCGGCGAGGTGGCCCGTGAACGCCTTGAGGGACCGGAACAAATCCCTGCATCAATACCCTGGAAACGAAAAGAAATGACTGTCAGATATCCTGCGGAAATCAGTAATCGGATCTGCTAAGGCTGCCGTATCGTACATCATGAAGTGGTGCTAGGGAGAACTAAAGAAACAGAAGAAAAACAGAAACATCTCTGATTCCGCTCGGCTTACCTCCATGGCGATGGATCGAATCCCGAAGGCGGTTCCTTGCACCTTGGGAACTCCGAAAGAGACCGCAGCTGGCTGGTTGTGTACGTCTTCCTCGCCCTGCTCATGCATGTCGCAAGGAAAGCAAAATCAAGTCGTTCCGGAAAAAAAAAAAAAAAAAAAAAAAAAGGAGAGAGATGAGATCAAGAATACTGAGATCCATGAAGACATAGGCAGGGCCAGCAATAAAAAGATCACGCGGATTACCTTGAAGTCTCGGCTCCATCAGACGCTACAGCTGAAATCGCTACCGCTGAACTCATAGCTGAAAGCTAACGCGAGCAACGACAGGATTCCAGCTCGCAACGCAGCGAGACCTACCCTACATCCTAGGCATGAAAACTCTAATCTACATTAAAAAAAGTGCAGGCTTGACCAAGTTCAGCAGTTCAATGGATAGGAAAAATCTAGCAAAGAACTAAGAGCGCTAATTTATCGAAATTGGAGAAGATTTGTGAGGAGGCCATGGCTGGTGGCAGGATAAGTAGATGTACGACATGAAATCTGCATGCAATGGGAATCATTGCGATGGAATGGAATGGGAATGGAATTTGTTGTGGATGAGACTGCCTCCTCATTGGCTGCTGTGCGGGCTGGATGAGCACTCCAGCACAGAGTTGAAGCCCCCAACACAACACAGCCTTCAGCTCGGCTGGGTTTGGTAAGTGAGGGTGCCGAACCAAATTGAGTTACCCTGCCTATTGTTGTGCTTCGAGGTTTTCCGCACCTCACGACATTCCAATGAGGTCCCAAAGCAAACAGGTCTGGGTTAGAACAAGTTCCGAACAGGTTTGAACAAGCTTTGCACACATGTTATTATGACAGTGGAAAAATGCAACCTCCTAGATTAGTCACATCTCTCGGTCATTAATAGTAGGTATATGGATAATATAGTCACAAAACTTTCTAGAGGTGTTCTAGCGTTTAGGGCACCGACCTGTGTCGGAGCAGGCACTTTTCCAGCAACCATTGCTGCAAGGCAAACTCGCATGCACGAACAAATCCGACTTCACTCAATTCCAGTGTGAGAACCATTGAGGTCTATGAAGCAACCCCATCACTAACTAGTCGCCGCGTGAGCTGCGGTTTTTGTCAGCAGCCCCGGAAGAGCCCGAGAGTGCGCTTCTCGCTTCTGTGGCGTTTTTGCAAGTTCTTTGTTTTCCGTACAGTCCATCGCACCAGAGATGAGGAGGAGCGTGCGGGTCCTTTCCGCCTCACGGAGGTTGCTTGCAGCTGCGTCAGGCGCAGCGATGGATAGCACGACGTTAGCAGCAGCACCAATTGTAGCGGAATCCGCCCGTTCATCAGTCACAGCAGGATCCGCAGCAGCCGCACCACCACTATGGGAACATCATGCGCGGTCATCTTTCGTCCGATCTGCAGAATTGCCAGCTCTCAGCTCGAGTGCGGGAGGGTGCTTGCAACGACGTTATCACGTACCTTCGTTTCCGTTGTTGGGACGCCAGAACCACCCGCCATCCTGTAGTGTACAGAACCTCCGCCAGGAAACGTGCACGAGGATGGCAGTAAGCGGGATGAGACGTATGAGCAGTGAGGTGGTGCGACAGACGCAGAAGCCACAGGAAACGGTGATTCTCAGCGACAAATGCGCGGAAGTGAGTATTTTCATGCCCTGCTCGTCTTGTGACCATATGAGTACCAACGTTTGTCTGCTTTTTGGGTCGCTTTATGTATCTAAACTCAGAAGAAAAAATGGCTGAGCGATGAGTGTTGGATGGACCTTCTGTTTGCTTTCTGAACAGAGACTGGCTGAGATTATCAAAGAGGAAGGGCGTGACGTGTGTTTACGATTGACCGTGGAGGGAGGCGGCTGTTCTGGGTTCCAGTATATCTTCACTCTGGATGACAAGGTCACTGCTGAAGATAGGTAAGGTCCTCTCAAGCAATGGCCTTTTCTGGGGAATTTGGGCCTGTAGTGTTAGCCCAAGTCCAATAAACGTCATGATCTCGTTCTTCCCTTTGGTTAGGCGGACTAGTTGTTGCTGATCCCCTATGTTGAGTTGTCTTCATCAAATTTCTGTGCAGCATTTTCGAGCGTGATGGAGTACGGCTGGTGGTAGACAATGTATCTCTGCTTTTTGTGAATGGCGCCACTGTGGACTTCACAGACGAACTCATTCGTTCTTCCTTTCAGGTGAGTGCATTGGAAGTACTCGCTTTCCACCAGTTTGAATTGCATGCGTGGTATGTAAAGCTGTTATGTCCTATCCTGGTATGCAGGTGATCAGCAATCCCAACTCCGCGTCATCGTGTGGCTGTGGTGCCTCATTTACAGCAAAACAGTAACAAGCACTTGCTGTGATGTTTTTTATATATAATTGAGGAAGTCTGTTGGAATATCAATAAACCCGTGAACATGGAGTCTCCAAAAGATATTTGAGTTTATCCCATCCCAAATCCTGACCAGAGACATACCCCTGTGCTTAGAGTGGAGAGGCGACATGGTATGCAACTGGTAGTAGTAGAAGATTTTTCATGTGGTTACAAGTAGGATAGAGCCATACTTGGGACATTTCATATTTATATCGAAACTTTCTAAGGCAACCCACGCGACAAGCTGATTGGAGAAACTTCGTGGGCGTCGACACTCCACGAAACCGTTCTGCCTTGTTGGCAAGCCGCGGTGCTGTGGTGGCACATCTCGGAGATTGAGAACCACCGTGGGATTATCTCGGTGATCCTTCTGCCGAACTGTGGTGGAGCCTCGCACACGCACAAAGAAGCAACTGAAGGGGCCACGGGTTGATCCACGCGTCACTCTCTTGGTCTGCCCCCATCCCACGGAGCGCACATGTCGTCTGACGTGGTTCAGTCATAGTCACCAAGAGCCGTTGGCCAGCTCATCAAGGTCCCGTCATCAAGGTCCCGTCGTCAGACAACTGAGCTGCTTGTGCGACATTCCAGCTTCAAGGTTGCGATTGCGACCCTAGAATTTCCACACCGTCGCACATCGCACAGTCGCACATTGGCAATCCCAAGGGTTTGGCGACTAAAAACGAGTTATATCTTCTTGGCATTTCAAGATTTCGCAAATCCAAACCTCCTGCCAATTCCCTTCCCAAAGATAGAAAAACTAGTCATCCAGACTTGTTCCAAGATCAACCATTTTCTCAAAGCTCCTTTTGCTCCTGCTTAGCATTTCCCGTGCAAGATTTTGCTTCGCAAAGACAATTGTAGCAAGAGAATACAATGGCGACCACCTGCATTTCACGCTCTGTCCTGTCAGCGCCCGCTGCCGCTGGCACTAAGGCGGTCTCTGCCCAGCAGAAGCGACAAACCAGCCAACTGGTCTCCTGCAGATGCTCAGGCGTCGAGGCATCCGCATCCCTCCGATCTCGCCTGAACCTGCAATCGTCCTTTAAAGGCGATGCTCTCGTTGCTCTCCCAGTCCGCACTGTTAGCAAGCGATCCTCCGAGAGGTACGACAATCTAATCATCTGATCGTCAGCTTTCATTCTTTCTGAAACGCATTCCTATCATCGTACAGTCTTCGCTCCCCTTTCGAGTCTTCCCCTGCTCTCCAACGCTCCCTCTCCTCTCCAAGCTCCACGACTCTCTCTTTACCTCACCCGTCTTCTTTCCCTTCTCCCCCTCATTCTCTTTACCTTTCCCATTCCGGTTCTTGCCCCATTCTCCGCTCTTCACTTCTCCCTCACTCTTCCCACTCTCGTCTCTCCCTCGTTATCTCTCCCTTCGTTTGCATCCGTCGTACGTTACTAGATCCTTATATTAAAATCTTTCTTGTTTCCTTCCTCCCACACCTCCCCCCCTCCCCTCTCTTCCACCCCTTCCCCCTCTCTGGGTTCTCTCTCTTTCTCCGCGTGAACTTCAGGCTCGTGGTGGTGGACGAGGCCGTCGTGCAGTTCATCCGCGGCGTCAACGAGCAAACCATTCCCGAAGTCCGACTCACGCGATCCAGGTGCGTTCACAATTTGATGAAGTTCAACGTCGACGTCTGTGATACGGGAATCGGGAGCGGGTACTAGGCGTTAATCACATCACATCACAAGTCCTGTAGCATCCACGCACCGCGGTTGCACTGAATAGCAGTTATCATTTCTCGATATGCATTGCGACCCGCACGGCGCGGTGAATAAGTAGCCTACTTCACCTCAAGTCGTGCCAAACCGACAGCAGTCGTTTTGCCATGCTCTTTATCTCCTTTGTAACACCTTTTCGTTCTTGTTCACACAACCATAACGGTCCCTGTTCACACCCGTTTCGCCGTACCCAACCACATCTCTGTCTCTCTCAAACTTTCTTCGTCACTCTTGTATGCCGGCCTGCTTTTCGGTCTTTTGGCATCACACTGATCTTTTTCCCCCCATCCCCCTCCTCACCGCTCCCTCCGATCTCTTCCCTTATAGGGACGGCACCAGCGGCACGGCGACGTTTGTGTTTGAGCAGCCGTCGGTGTTCGATCAGCCCAGCGACCTGGGCGACATCACGGGGCTCTTCATGATCGACGAGGAGGGCGACCTGCAGGTGAATACCTTTTTTTCTCATCCATCTCAGACCCTCTGAGGTTGTATTGGACTCCGTTCGTCCTAGTTGTCTGAGTATCCCTGCGACCTGGGTGACATCACGGGGCTGTTCATGATTAGAGGAGGGCGACCTGCAGGTAAATACCTTTTTCATCTTCCCCTACTCTTTTAGTCGTCTCAGACGCCTTGCGTTTCGGTCCCGACAGAGATCTTCAGGCGTTTGGGCTGTGAAGTGCGTCGCCCGCCATTAGCGCTCTTCTCCAAATGTCAAAACCAACTTATCACCACAACATTCTTTTCCTCCGATTTCCTGCCTTGCTCCATACCTTACATGCGAATTTCTCAGCTGCTCCTACTCCCCAGACCCCTGCTGAACCCCCCTGGCTGACTTGGAATGTGAGCACTAAAGTTCGTCTCCCCTCCCTGCCACTGTCATGGCAGACGGTGGACGTGAGCGCCAAGTTCATCAATGGCAAGCCAGCGGGTATTGAGGCGAAATACATTATGCGCTCGGAGAGGGAATGGGACCGCTTCATGCGCTTCATGGAGCGGTACGCCGAGGCCAACAACCTGGGCTTTGTCAAGAAGTGAAAATACCAAAGGGGGAGATGGAGGGTTACAACAACCTGAGATCTTTCGAGGAGGGAAAAGACCAGAGGAGGGGAGTTGGTGGATTTGGCCTGGCTTGTTAGGTTAGTGAGGCAGTAGGAGATGTGGCATTACACTAAAGGTGAAGTGACACTCCTGCTGGAAACATTGACTGCAGAATCAGAATGGAGGTAGTTTCTGTTGCGCTGCCATGACGGCCTTGCTGCACCTTTTGATTTTTTTAGATGCGTGCTTGTGTACTTACGGTATAAATCATAAATTCCTGTCATCAGCACTCTCACACAGCCCACAAGTCCAGACTTGTTGGGAGGATGAAAGGGATGTAGCATCACGATGTTGAACTTACATTGCCCTAAAAAAAACATTACCTATGTGCTTGCTAATTTCGCGATTCATTCAGTTAAAGGGCGGCTGCCTATTTATTCCTCACCTTACCCCCTTTTTTTTTTGCAAGAAGCGAGTTTCTTAACCCTCCTCAAACCGGGGTAGGCGGATTACAGTCGGCAGCCGGGATAATACCTAAGGGGATTTCCCCTATTATCTTAACCTTTACCCTCCTAGAATTCAGCCAATTACCAGATACAACATTCCACAATATAGCCAGCCAACTACCAGATACAACATTCCACGATATAGCCAGCTCCAAACTGTGTCATTACTACGCACGCACTCACTAAATCAAAAACCAAACCAGTGTAACAATGCAGTATGGTCCATTTGATGACCAGCTGTCATCTACAAAGCAATCTTATTCCCCTCAAATCCATACTTCGCCCATAGGTTTAGCAGAGCTGGTTTGATAGGCACACTTCCCCATGCTCTTGATCCGCGATGGATTTTGGTTACTAGTAGCCAAGAATCTTGGTAGGGAGGCTCAGCAGCTGAGGTAAAGCAGAGGGATGAAACTTTCTTGCAAACAAGAAGCAGGTGCGGTTCTCTCCATCCTTGGCGCAAGGGAGAGTGTATGACTGCAATTAAGAGAGAGAGGAGGGGAAGGACGCATCACGAGAAAAGAGTGAGAGGTGCTTAGCTGTATTTGGTTTGGTGTGAACAGTGACAACAGTTGTCAACAGAATAATGAAGGGATTGCAAGAAGAGGACCAATGAGCAGCCAAAGGGCACGTGGGAGTTTTCGAATTGACTCAGAAGTAGATGTGTAAGTGATAAGAGATAAAGACCAAGCCCATGTAGGAAAGCGTGAAGAGCGAGGGGAGGGGGTTGGGGAGGGAATGGGAGAGAGGTGGGTGTACTCACGCTTTGTGGGGTTTCGTCATCAGGTTCCTGTAAAGGCATAGGAAGTCAGAGAGGGGGGAGTCGAGAGGTAATGAGGGCACGGAAAGATGTACACACAACGCTTTTGACACAGCTACAGCACTGGTGTGCTGTGGTGGGTGTCATCATGCGGACAAAACAAGATAAATGAAAACAAAGTGTGGCATGGTGTAGCAGGTGCTGATTGAAAGGTGGAAAAGTAAAAGTGTACATGGCTGGTCATAGGTGGGTTATCGAGGAACTCACCACAACGTTACGATGCATGTACATCCGTGGCTTCTGATAGAGGGAGGATGTACATGCCGGAAAGACGGAGATGCAGAAAAAAGGGCGACGATGGAAAGCAATGTAAAGGAACTTTTGAAAATGTGATGCAGGTCAGTGTACATGTTTATAAAAGAACAACACATGTGTACGTATGTCACTGTTGTAGAAAAGCTAGAGAGGTGTGTACTGTACATACAGTGATGTAGCGAATGAGGCTGGGCCGAGTGAGGAAGGGATCAAAGGTGCGTGGGTGCGGCGAGTTGAGTGGGAAGTCGACATAGGTGATGGTGCGATTGGCCAGATTGCCGGGGTCCTTCAACTGTGGACGGGTGAAAAAAAAGGGGATGAAAAGACAGCGGGGGAGAAAAAGGGATGTATACGGCGGTGATAAGGAAGTTGGCATAGGTGATCAAAGTACATGATGGTTCGATTTGCCAGGGTCCTTTTTGACTGTGGACCAAAGGGGAAGAACAGACAGCGGAGGAAGAGTGGATGTACCGAATTTATGCAGGTATTTGTGATGGAGGTAGGATTTTGTAAGTGGAGAAAATGGGAAAGTCAGAGCGTGGAAGAAGAAGAGTGGATGTGTGGAATCTATCAGGGAGGTTGAAAAATTGTGTCACAATGCTCACATTGATTAGAGTTGGGATGTAATGCTCGTCTGAATAGCACTCGTGATGTTGGATGTCACCCTGTAACGAGTACAGTAAAAGACACAACGAGCACAACATGGGAAACAACTATGAAAACCGCATGTGGAGGATCATCAGCAGATTCAGAAAGAGGAATGTGAAATGTTGAATCCAAAGAAAAAGGACCAACCAAGACAGTCCTGAAAGAGGGGAAGCCATAGTCAACCATGATACCCACCCTGCAGTAGATTTGGAAGAGCTTATGCACATCGATGTCATCAATTATGATGTTCGCGTGCTTGCGTGTAACCGAGAACCACTGCATAATGAGGACGAATGAGGGAGTTAATAGTGTAAGTTAATTCAGCAAATTCGTATATGACGTTATGGAACCAGCAACGAAGAATCAAACAAAGCATGTCAGTCAGACCAAGGTTCACCTGAGACGCTTTTCTCCATTTTTCAATAGGAATCAATGGAGCCATGCGTTCGTCATGTCGTCCCGTATTCACGTATCTGTCTGTAGTGAAGCTGTTACGAGAGAGAGAGAGAGAGAGAGAGAGAGAGAGAGAGAGAGAGAGAGAGAGAGAGAGAGAGAGAGAGAGAGAGAGAGAGAGAGAGAGAGAGAGAGAGAGAGAGAGAGAGAGAGAGAGAGAGAGAGAGAGAGAGAGAGAGAGAGAGAGAGAGAGAGAGAGAGAGAAGAGAAGTATGGACGAATTATGACTCCATACCAGCATGCTCAGCAACAAGTTCAACAAATATGCATTGTGATGAAAACATGTGGATCAGCTTACCTTGAAACAAAGCTGTAGTCAGTCCCGAGGAGATATCTCCACGTAAATTTCAGGCTCTTAACGGGAATGCAACTGCAAGGCATGAGAGGGATGCGGAGAGAGGACCAGTGTCAGCGAAAGGTGGATCCAACCAAAAATTACAAATGGGGGATGTTTGAGATTTTTCCGCCACTTATGCAAGTTACGATGGTAGGACGAAAACGGGAAGCGAAGCTAGCAATCACTGGCACTTACGATTCGGAGAGTAGCACGAAATTGTGATTGGCTGGGTCCTTGAGCGCCGCAGCAATCAGCCGTCGTTCGGCGTCGATCATCGTTGGCGATCCCCACGACACCTGTGAGAGAGATGATGCGAGAAATGTGGGAGGCGAAAACGATTGGTAAATCTCAAACCGACAACCGAGGGGACAAAACGTGGTGCGCTGCCCAACTCCAGAGATTGACAATGAACGAGATAAACTGAGAGTAAACGTGCTGAGAACAAGCTGAGGGCCCATGCTAAAAATCCGGATTTGCAGCACGGTGGAGCGGGTTACCAGGCGGCGCTGCTGGGACTCACCGCTTCGCTGCGGATGGTGTTGTTGCGGAAGAGCGCGGAGGCGTTCTTGGGGAATACGTAGCCCGGCGCCGTGTGCACGTAAATGGAGTAGCTGCCCTCGTGACCCTTCGTTAGTGACACGTGGCGAAAGAATGACACAAACGCAAGGAAGGTTTGCGGTAGATGGCAGGGAGGGAAAGAAAAATATTTGAACGGGGGCGCGGTGAGGGTGAGGAGGGAGGGCGGGGGATGGCGTGGGGGAGGATTGAGGGGGAAAAGGGGAGGGGAAGGCAGAGGGGAGGAGGGGGAGGGAAAAAAGCAGGCAATTGAAACCAATGCGCACAGGAAGTCACGGAATGCTATCGGCGAAAAGAGATTCGGCGCGCGGGGTGAGCCCGTGTAGGTAAGGAACACCAACGCCACTTGCAGCGCCAGAAAACTATCGAGGAAGCTAAAATTTTACCTCGAGTAATACGTGGCACCTCGAGCCTTTCCTTGAAGTACCGCTCCCCACAGCTTGGAGTGCGGGATGGGGCCCTTGATGAGGAGCATGAAGGCCACTTGCGACGTACACGATGGTGTAACATGGAATTCGGTAATTTACCTTGGCTCAAGGAACATAAGGATCAACGCAACCTTCACTGCTTCCGAGCCTCACCTTGAAGTACCGCTCCCACAACTTGGCGTGCGGGATGGGCCCCTTGGTGAGAAACATGAACGCCACTTTCCGGTACTTGTGCTTCACGCGGCTCGCCGCCTTCTCGCGCTCCTCGCGCGTTTCGCGAAGCTCGCGAAGCATCGCCTCGTCTTCCGGCGACAGCTTCAGCTCGCGAAACACGTCCTCCTCCTTGCTAGTTTTGTCGGCTGTGGCGGTCGCGTCGGATCCCTTTTCACTCTCGGCATTCAACATTTCCGCCTCCTCCTCCGTTTCGGCTTCGTCATCCTCTTCGCCAACTTCGTCGGCTTGGTTACCACCAGTGACCTTTACGCCCTTTCGCGCGGCGCGAGATGCCGACTTTCGCGAGCGCGCGAGCTTGCGCTCTTGCGCCAGCACCTCCGCGGGCAGGCCCCGCTGCTCGTCGTCCACCTCCTCCGCCTCCTCATCCGCATCCGCATCCGCCTCCGCATCCCCTTCCGCGTCCGCATCAGCCTCTGCGTCCCCCTCCGCATTAACCCCGTCACTCTTCCCACCCGCCCCTGTTTCCCTCTTGGTCTTTGCCTTCAAGACCTCTCCGCCTGCGCCGTTCGCAGCCCCTGCAGATGTCACCCCGGTGACCAATCTCAGCGCATCCCCGCCCTTTTTCGTCGATCCGTCGCGCTGCGACAGGCGATCGACCGCAAGAGCAGCTTTGTTCATCTGCGGGAGGAAGCTGCCCGTGACAGTTTCGCTACTCTCAGCCGCGGCCCCGCCAAATCTGCTTTTCCCGTCCCCCTTGCTGCCCAGGGAACTGCTGCCACCTCCCCCCAGCAAGCTTCCCTCACTTTTCTTGCTTCTGCTGCCGGCAACCGGGCCCCCAGAAACGGTATTTGGGTTCGCGCCACGCAGTTGCAGAATGCTGATTGGTTGCACGGCGACGCGTAGTCCTTCGGAATCATCCATTCCGTCGGATTCGATGATCACGCGAGACGCGGATTTGCCACCCACTATTGACGTCAGCAGGTCCGCGTCGCCGATCGCCAGCTCTGCAGGATTACTGGTGGGCGACGCCGCGAGGTAGGCGAGGAAGATGAGGACGACGATGGCGACAGGGCTGGCGAAAATTATCATCCGCGTGGCGAGACTCTGCGACTTGACCGCATGAAGAATTGCTGCCATGGTCGGAGGATTGAACGGAAAATTTGCGATCAGCCGTGCAGCACGGCCGCAGTTGAGGCGAAGTACGGATTGAAGCGACCGACGAAGTGATCAGCGCGAATTGTCTCGCGCACGATCTAGTTTCCAGCCTGCTACTGGGAGCGACAGAGGAAATCTGATTGCCCCATGCTGGGAGTCTGCGTGAGAGTCACGGGATCGTCGGCTCTGGCCCTTTTTAAATCGATATCTCGTGACCTACGGGACCCGGTTACGACTGACCAAAGGTGTAGTTGCTTTCGAAGTTGGAAGCTGCGGAATGGTTAAACAATTACGCAGTTCTTTACTGGTAGGGAAGAAAGTGCTCCAAGCAGCTATTGAATGAGCATGACAGCACCTTTACGAGATTGAGGAACGGATTTTCCGAGCAGGAAACAAACTTGGTTACTACGGAGGTTGCCAAACGAGTAGCTGAACGACTGACTTCGAATGAAAGATGTTTGGGATGATGGCTTCACTGTGATGTCAAACTGAACCCAAGCGATGGATGCTTGTGGGATTTGTGAGAAACCTGCAAAGGGGTAGGTGGGGTTGATGAGGAGCGTGGAGCGGCGCAGACAGCTGCTTGCAGTGCAGCCCAAGGAAGGCGCATGACAACAGGCGACGCTGGGACACGAATGTGCGAAGGAATTTCAGCTGGGCACGATTCGTCGTGGGGATGCAAAACTGCTGAACGAGGCTGGACGAAGCGGAAAGACTTGGATTGGATGAGAGTGTTGGCTTGGCTGGCGTTGTACGGCTTGGAATTGGTCAAAATGGGGCATCACCCCAGAGCATCGCATTGCATCGTGTGAGTGGAGAAATTCGTTTCATTCCCCTGGGGAATCCGCACGTCGCCTCGGACCGCGAGAGAAGTGGCGCGACTCGGAATCACGACGGGCCCCGGCGCGCAGCTGTTGAAGTTTCCATGGACCTAGGCGGATCGCTACCCTTTGCTGCTCTCGCATTCGTCCAACGATTTTCCAGGGCTCCTGCACTGGATCACTGTAGAATTGCCCTGCGGCCTTCTCACGATTTGGCGATAAGCAGCGTCGCTTGCATGGGAGGCTACCCTCCGACTGATCTCCTTACTGTAGGTACCCCGCGCTTACTTCTTGCAACCAAGAAAACAGATCACCTTACACCACGGTGACACACTCCTCGCACGTTGATGGTGTGGGAAGTGCAAATACAAAAATTTGGTTTCCGTGACTGCACTGTAGTTCTGCACAAAGTTCAGGAAAGGGCCGTAGAAAACATTACACGAGAAGCGTGGGTTGGGATGGGAAAAGAGTGCTTGTGAAAAGCGCGGATTGCGCTGATCGGCGGCTGGTCGTTACTGTACTGTGTTGACATCGACCGATGAGCTGGAAGTTGGTTTCCAGCGCCTGCGTCTGGTCACACGAATGTTCCCCCTCGCTGTACGATAAACCGAAACTTGTTGCAAGATAAACGATTGTGTTATGACACCAAAGTTCCTAAGCCTTTATCATACTTATGTGGTACTCAGTTCTGAGTGGTGGCGGCTTGAATCAAATTAGTTTTGAAAAATACTCCCTGTTTTGTAGTTTCAACTTCAACGCATACGGGAGTACGCAGATTCTGTAGCATGGATGCTGGGCGCAAGAGGCAATCAGTACCCCAAAATGTCCTCGGAAAGGGATAGAAGAGCGGGGAGGGCACTGGGCGGAAATTTTCGCGCAAACAAAAAACAGGTGCGCTTCTTCCCATTCAGAGAACATGGTAGGGTGTATGCCTGCACGGTCAGAACAACAATCAAGGATGAAATGTTGATAAAAGATGAAGAGGTGAAGGAAGACAAGTGTCAATCTCTATTCATCTGTTTCTTCCCTCCCTCAATCTCAACTCAACCACCAACCCTCCCCCCACCCCCACTCCTCCCTTCCCCCCCCACACACATCTCTGCGTCTCTCACTCCCTCTATCTCCCCCCCTGCCCTGCTCCCCATCTCATGTACTCTTCCTCTTCCTACCTCTTCCTCCCCCCCCCCCCCCCCCCCCCCCCCCCCCCAAGGCCCCCCCCACACCTCCCAGATCCCACCACCCATTCCGTCCCCCTCTCCTCCCCCTTCCCACCCCCCACAACGAACACTTACACTCTGGGGAATCTTTTCCCGATGCTCCTGATTCAGGCAATGGGGCAGGGCAGACGTGGAGAGACAGGAAATCGAGCACAGCACGGGTCATAGGAAGGAGAGCGGGGACAATTTCTGAGGCACCTTAGAAATAGAGGCGGAGAGACAGGAAATCAAGAACAGCACGGGTCACGCGAAGGAGAGTGGGGACGATTTTTGAGGCGCCTTAGAAATAGAGGCGGAGAGACAGGAAATCAAGAACAGCACGGGTCACACGAAGGAGAGAGGGGACAGAGTTTAGTCGAGCCATCTCTGCTGATATCAGTTGCGGAGGTTTGGAATGGCGATGGAATCAATTACATTCATTGGAAACATATATGCGTTCTGAAAGCATGCGGACATGTGCGTTCTCAGGGGAATGAGTGTGATGCGAAATAGGGGCCAAATGAACAAATTGTTAGGTAACGCCTCTGCAGCACCTCAGAAACAGTGTTATGACGTTGTGGTGTTCTGAAGGTTAGTGCGAATGTTGTGAGGTAGAGTAGAGGACCTTTGAGGCGCCTCAAAAGTCACCTCAGAAACAGTGTTCTGACGTTGTGGTGTTCTGAAGGTTAGTGCGAATGTTGTGAGGTAGAGGCAGCAGTAGAGGCCACGAAGCAAAAAGCGAGAAGGAGGTGGAGAGGGAGAGGGAGGGGAACGGGGAGGAGGAGGGGGAGAGGGAGGAGGAGCGTGAGGAGGGGCAGAGGGAGAGGGAAGAGGGGAGAGGAGGTGGAGGGGGAGAGGGAGACTCACAACCACGTTGATGAGACTGTAGTCTAGGGGCTCCTGAATCATGGGAGAGGCAATAGACAGAACAATCATGAGGGAGACAACAGACAAGCATTCAAGATAGAGACAACAGACAAGCAATCATGACAGAGACAACCACTACAGAGACAGAAACAATCACTACAGAGACGGTACACGTGGAAGCACATGCGGCGTGGACATAAGACAGTAAGGCATGATAGGATGCAGAGAAAATAGACAAGAAAGCACACGGGGCGTGGATAGAGACAGGATGGCATGATAGCATGCAGAGATACAACAGCATGACAGCATAAAGTAACACCCATGAACACCCAGACACATCACCCTCCTAGACCATGGAAATGGGATGGTGCTGGTTCCCTGTAAAAATAAACTCACGCCCAGCACACGTCCGACACACGCCCAACACACGCCCAACACATGCCCGACATGCGCCCTCCCCACTCACCGTGACGTTCTGAAAGAGGTCGTCAGTGATGTTGAGAGGCAAAAATGATGTGGGGTGCTGCTGATTCCCCGTAAACACCAACGCATGGCCAGCACACACCCAACACACGCCCAGCACACGCCTCCCCACTCACCGTGATGTTCTGAAAGAGGTCCTCGGTGATGTTTTGAGGGAGGAAAGACGAGGGGTGCTGCTGCAGGGGCGGGAAGTCCACATAGGTGATTGTGCGGTTGGCCATACGGCCGGGATCCTTTATCTGTTGAGAGAGTTCGAGAGAAGAGGGGGACGAGCAGACAGCACAAGGGGAATGCTGTTGAGGGGAGGGCACATAGGTTTAGAATGAAGACGAGAAACGGAGCAAGAGGAGCAAGATGAACAAGATGGGCAAGAGGGGGAAGAGGAGCAAATGGAGCAAGAGGAGCGCACATTGAGCAGGGTTGGGATATAGTGCTCGTCCGCGTAGCAGTGGTGATGCCACTTGTCGCCCTGCCATTCGCCCAAGCAAGAGAGGCGGCAGTCAGGCATGGGAGTGGAGACAAAAAGATTGCGTTGAGCTGAGAACCAGCTCGTGTTAAGAACACTGGACGCTGCCACTTCACAGCAATGCCAGCAATTGCTCATTTAGTGATAAACGCTGCAAAAGTACAGAAGCCTCCGAATACAGTGGGTTTTCCTTCCAGTACTGTGAATGGATTCTGCACCACCTCAGGATTGAATGACCGTTTTTCTTAACACTCATCAGATCAGACCGTTTGCTCTGGATTTTTTCAGGAATTATATTATACTGAGAAATGATGAGGCGAGTGATGAGGTGAGTGATGAGATGATACGAGGCAAGAAGAGGTGATGGGGGTGCCGGGAGAGTCTGAGGGACTCACTCAGCAGTACTTCTGGAAGAGCGCATGGATGCTGTCGTCATCGATGATGATGTTCACATGCCACCTCGTGGCTTGTGAGACGCCTAGTAAGCGGTGAGTGCCTTTGAGGCACCTCAATAGGGGTGAAGGGACTTGGTGGGACTCATGCGGCAGTACTTCTGGAAGAGCGCATGGATGCTGTCATCATCAATAATGATGTTCACATGTCACCTCGTGGCTTGTGAGGCGCCTAGTAAGCGGTGAGTGCCTTTGAGGCACCTCAATAGGGGTGAAGGGACTTGGTGGGACTCACGCGGCAGTATTTCTGGAAGAGCGCATGGATGCTGTCATCATCAAGAATGATGTTCACATGCCACCTGTGATTAGTCAATTTTGAGTCGACTCAAAAATCGACTCATCACACGCATCGATGATGATGATTTTCACATCACATGCCACCCACCTGTGAGGCATCTCAAAGTTTGAAATGTCTCAGATTTTGGGACGTCTCAAAACGAGGGGTGTAGGGAGAGTTTGAGTTTGAGGGACTCACCCGGCAGTACTTCTGGAAGAGAGCATGGATGCTGTCATCATCAATAATGATGCTCACATGCCTCCTTTGAGACGTCTGAAAGCTTGAGACGCTTCAAAGTTAGGGAAGAAGGGACTTCAAGGGACTCACCCGACAGTACTTCTGGAAGAGCGCATGGATGCTGTCGTCATCGATGATGATGTTCACATGCCGCCTCGTGGCTGCAAACCACTGCCATGCCATGCCATACCCATGCCACGCCATGCCCACATGCATATGCCATGATACGGCCACATGCATGTGACATGACATGACATACAATGATAATGCATCATTAACACGTTCACGTACATGCCACGTCATGTTAAACACAAAAACCCACGCCAGTCACACATGCCATTATCAACCATTGCAAGGCGAGCGACACATGCCATTTGCACGCATGACATAACAAACAATATCAGTCTGACCAAACAAATGCACACAACTTCCCAAACACATGCAACATGGACAAGAAGGACTAGAGAAAAAGGCCCGTGCTGAGACATTCCACAAACTCTGCAAATCCTTGAACCCCTTTCAAAATCTGGTTTTGAGGCGCCTCAAAACCAAACTCTGCAAATCCTTAAACCCCTTTCAAAATCTACCTTCATCAACACAACCTCACATATCTCACATGGGAAGAGAAAGAGCTCATCCACGGCCCTCACTTGCACCATTACATCCCCAACATATTCCCTCTGTGACACAGTCTTCTTTTGGCACACTCTACAGCAGCCCTTGTCCCCTCACTTGCCCCTGCCTCTCACTTGCCCCTGCCCCTCACTTGCCCCTGCCTCTCACTTGCCCTTGATCACAATTCTCTTAAACCCGTACCCCTTCACCTGCCTTCACCCTTCACCAGCCCTCCCACCTCACCTGGGACCCCTTCCGCCACTGGCTGAGCGTGAGATTGGGCTGCATGTGCTTGTCGTACCTCCACCCCACCCCCTCCTACCCTTGACCCATGTTCCCTCACCACTAACTGTCACTCTATCAACTCCCCTTACCCCTTGTCTCCCCTCCCCCCTCACCTGCGACCCCTTCCGCCACTGGCTGAGCGTGATCTTGGGCTGCATGTGCTTGTCGTAGCGGCCAGAGCACACGGGGCGATCTATGAAGAAGCTGCATGGCGAGAGGAGGGGCGAGACGCGAAGGGCGATGCGCGAGGTGGGGGAAAAGGAGAGAAGAGGAGGAAAGGAGAGAAGAGGAGGAAAGGAGAGAAGAGAAGGAAAGGAGAGAAGAGGAGGAAAGGAGAGAAGAGGAGGAAAGGAGAGAAGAGGAGGAAAGGAGAGAAGAGGAGGAAAGGAGAGAAGAGGAGGAAAGGAGAGAAGGAGGAAAGGAGAGAAGAGGAGGAAAGAGAGAAGAGGAGGAAAGGAGAGAAGAGGAGGAAAGGAGAGAAAAGGAGAGGAGGAAGGAAAGAGGAGGAAAGGAGAGAAGAGGAGGAAAGGAGAGAAGAGGAGGAAAGGAGAGAAGAGGAGGAAAGAGAGAAGAGGAGAGAGAGAAGAGGAGGAAAGAAGCATTTTGGCATTCTAGTGTTCCAACCAATCAACCTGGAAAGACGGTGGATAAGCGGATGAGGGAGGAAGGAAGGAGGCACCTGGATACTCCAACAGGCACCTGAGCGAGCACCTGAGCGAGCACCTGAGCAAGCACCTGAGCGAGCACCTGAGCAAGCATTCCGGCTTGACACCTGAAATCAAATACAATCATTCCATCCGTCCAGTCATCCAGTATGCATGCATCCAGACAACTGACATGTTTCGGACGCCAGAAAACGCACCTGAAAATCCACCTGGAATCACCTGGAGACGAAGCTGTAGCGAGTGCCCATCAGGTAGTCCCATATGTAGTTGAAGCTCTTCACTGGTATGCACCTGCGGATGGGGGAAAGGGAAAGAGGACGGGGAGGTACGTATGACGCATGAGTTGATGCATGAGGCGTAGTTGCACGAGGCATGCAGCTACTGGTGCATCAGGTAGTCCCAGATGTAGTTGAAGCTCTTCACAGGTATGCACCTGCGGATGGGGACACGAGGTGGTGTGCATTGGGTGTGGGAAGGGAGGGAGGTGGTGCGCAGGCGGGCAGGGAGAGTGAAGCAGCGGATTAAACATACAAGTGGAGATCGTCTAGTCTCAGATGTAGTTGAAACTCTTCACGGGTATGCACCTGCGATTCGGCAAGGAAGGGGGTGTGTGTGACGTGGAGATAGGGGACAGGGACGCGGGAGTGTGGGGGGCGGAGTGGGGAAGGGGGGAGAGGGGAAGCGGGGAAGAGAGGGAAGGTGAGGCAGCGGAATGACCAAACAAATTGAAATTATCTCGAAACAGTAACCGTTGAAGCTCTTCACTGGTATGCACCTATATGTCAGCGGGCAAGGTGGTTTGTTTTTGAGTCGACTCAAAAACACTGTTTTTCAGCGGGAAAGGTGGCTTGCACGGGGTGCAGGAAGGGGACGGGGAAGGGGAGGAAGGAGTGGGGAGGGGGGCGGGGAAGGGGAGGAGGGAGTGGGGAGGGGGGCGGGGAAGGTCGTTTTTGAGGCGCCTCAAGAACAGTAACAGTTGAAGCTCTTCACTGGTATGCACCTAGAATTCAGCGGGAAAGGTGGCTTGCACGGGGTGCTGGAAGGGGACGGGGAAGGGGAGGAAGGAGTGGGGAGGGGGGGGCGGGGAAGGGGAGGAGGGAGTGAGGAAGGGGGAAGAGAGGGAGATGAGGGGTAGGGAGGGAGGGAGGTGAGGCAGAAGTTAAAAAACATAAGGGCAACAAGGGAGCACACGGTTCTCAGAAAAAGAAAGAAAGAAGAAAAGAAAAGAAAAGAAAAGAAAAGAAAAGAAAAGAAAAGAAAAGAAAAGAAAAGAAACGAAAAGAAAAGAAAAGAAAAGCGAACGATCCTGAGAAGAAGGGCGTACGATTCTGAGAGCAGCACGAAGCGGTGGTTGGCGGGATCTGCGAGCGCAGCACCCATGAGTCGCCTCTCCGCGTCCACCATTGTGGGTAGACCCCATCCGACCTGTGGGGGAGGTGAAGGTGAGGTATAGAGGAAGGAGGCTTCGATTGACTCACGAGGACGTTTTTGAAAAGCGTCTCAAACAAAACACTTCCAAACAGATTATGAGCTTACGATTCGTCACAAGAATGATGAGACCAGCCGAGTGCACACTGCGCGCACGCACGCACCGGCTCACTACGGATTGTGTTGTTGCTGAAGAGCGTGGAGGCGTTTCTGGGGAAGGTGTAATCCGGAGAGGCATGCACATAGATGGAGTACCGCCCCTCGTGGCCCTGCAGGTGACATGTAGGGGAGGTGGTGTTCAGAAGCAGGGCAATTTTGATGCCTTAGCGTTCTTTGGGAAGGTGTAGTCCGGGGAGGCGTGCACGTAGATGGAGAACCCCTCCTCGTGGCCCTGCAGTGCAGGTGGCATGCAGGGGAGGTGGGATGCGGGGAGGGTGGCAATGGGGGGAGGTGGCAGGTGGGGGAGATGGCATGTGGTGGGGAAGGTGGCATGTGGTGGGGAAGGTGGCATGTGGTGGGGAAGGTGGCATGTGGTGGGGAAGGTGGCATGTGGTGGGGAAGGTGGCATGTGGGGAAGGTGGCATGTGGTGGGGAAGGTGGCATGTGGTGGGGAAGGTGGCATGTGGTGGGGAAGGTGGCATGTGGGGAAGGTGGCATGGGGGGGGGGGGGGGGGGGGGGGGGGGGGGAGTGGAAAGCAACCCTGGCGTATTGACCAAATGCCATTCACAGACCTACCTTGAAGAATCTTTCCCAGAGGGGAGCAAGAGGCATGGCTCCCTTGACGCCACCTGCAAACACGAACATACCTTTAAAAACCGCTCCCACAGAGGGGAAAGCGGTACAGCTCCCTTGGTGAGGAACATGAACGCCACCTTCCGCACCCGCCACGGCACCTGCAGCGCGAGCTCCTCTCGAGCAAGAGACACTGGACTGGCACTCGACTTTACCCGACTTCCCCTGCAAACACAGACACACACACACCTACCTTGAAGAACCGCTCCCAGAGTGGAGCAAGGGGCACGGCTCCCTTGGTGAGGAACATGAACGCCACCTTCCGCTCCCGCCGCGGCACCTGCAGCGCCAGCTCCTCGCGCTGCCAGCGGAAGCGGCGCAGCACGTGGATCATCTCGCGGTCCCCAATGTGCCATTGACGGGCCTACCTTGAAGAATCGTTCCCACAGAGGGGCAAGCGGTACGGCTCCTTTAGTGAGGAACATGAAGGCCACCTTCCGCTCCCGCCGCGGCACCTGCAGCGCGAGCTCCTCGCGCTGCCAGCGGAAGCGGCGCAGCACGTGCAGCATCTCGCGGTCCGCGCGCGAGAGCTCCAGATCGCGAATCATATCAAGCGACGGCCCGAACTTGCGATCCGCCTCGTTACAGGGCAGATGATCCGTGTGGTAACACGTGAATTCCGGTTTCCCGTTCACCATTGGCTGCCTGTATTCGCGGAGATACACCGCGCCGGTTCCCCCGCCGGTTCCCCCGCCGCGGCCGCCGCGGGTTCCGCGGGTGCCGCTGTTGCTGCTTCCCCCGCCTGTGGTGGCGAAATTCGGGCGGGGTTTTAAGGCGGAGGGGACGACGCCGAAGGCTGCGGTGGAGTTGAGCTGGATGAGAGAGCGGAGGGCGACGGGGGTGTGGAGAGCGGCGGGGAGAGCGTCGGGAGTTGCAGGCGGCCGGGTTTGGACGTATGCGACGAAGAATAAGAGGGCGATTGCGAGAAAGACGGCGAAAATCTGGACCGTTCGATTGGATCGCGATGGTGGTGATGAAGTGGGTGGAGTGGGAGCCGAGCGAATTTCCATAGCTGAAGGAGTTTCCATGGACGAATTCTCCCTGCCTGGATTGTTAGTATCGTAAATGCGTGACAAGCTGAATGCGTGTGCCTTTTGAGACGTCTCAGAGGAGGCTAAATGCGTCTTTAGAAGAGGCTGAATGCGTCTTTAGAGGAGGCTAAATGCGTCTGTAAAATGCTTGTACCTTCTGAGATGTCTCAGAGGCTGAATGCCAGTGCGTGGCCGGGCCGCTCGTCTCCTCTCCTGACGCTCGCCCCACGAACAGCGATACAAGAGCAGCTCGTTGATAACCTAACGGAACCAAAGTGATCTTAATCAGAACGGCTGAATCCAGTATTCTAAAATTCCTAGCCCAATGGTTTGCCAGTTATCGTGCCAGGTAGCACTTCGAAGCTAGCTTTCCACGATCGGCATTTGAGACATCTCATTACTCAAACGGAATTCACGCTGATACGATTCGTAACGGCAAGCTAGAGCTCCCGAAGCGTTGAGTCTCGTCAACGAGAATTTCATCGAGAGATCAAGTCAGTATACCGCCACCTCAAGTCTGAACAATTAGAAATTGGAAGGCCTGCTCAGTAGCACTGTCAGGGGACCACGAGCACGAGTAGAGGAATTAGCTGCTGACGTATTTGACTATTTTGCACGCATATTGTGCTGTACTGCTGGCGAAGAGGTCTGGCTCGTCTGTTTCGTGACCACACAGCCTTGCACAAGGGGAGGTCCGGCTTGGGACTCTTAAAAACGGAATTCCTAAACTAATGCATCATGAAACAAACTCTTTCGACAACTGATGGAATTCTTCTAGGAACTGTCGAGACACTAAGTGATGCAACTAATATTGTGTGGTCTAGCACCCACAAAACCTGGGGAGTGCTGGAATACTCTAAAACAGTGAGAAACGAAAGGAGGATTCGGGCCGACCAGCCAATCTGCGACGTCCTCTGACGTCTCCTCGATCTGATGGGGTGTCAGGCGTACTCGTTTTAGAGTATCTTCGGTGCACTCGGATTAACTCCGCACTTCGTTTCTAATGGAAGTAGGCAGCTTTGAAGGGGCTATTCAACCCCACATTGTAACATGGTGTACAGAGGGAGTATTTTACAAAAAAAACATCTGTCGCATATTACCTATCCCACATGCTTCATAGTAGTGATGCACTGCATACACGAGTGAACTATACGCTTCTTCCACCTGCTACTGTCCCCATTGATTCCACATGGACAAATGTCCCACACCAGCAACAGGTGCATTGCCACTATCAGTGGCACCATTATGCATCATATCATCACCGCCAAACACCACACCATCTCCCATGCCCTGGACCGCAGGCAAACTTGCATCCTTGCTTGCCTCATTTCCTTCCCACCGCATCCCAACTCCGATGTCCCCAATGGACTCTTCTACTCTCCCTTGAGATTGTCCCACCAACACAGGGTTCACCTCATTGGTCCGACCAATCAAATTCTGGCCCACAGGAGCACCCTGTTCCATCCATGCTTCCTGTGACTGGCTATAGCTTTGCACAGGCATGCTGCTTTGCCCGTCACCTGGAACAGCCACCTGTTGTTGCTGTTGCTGCTGCTGCTGCTGCTTCTGCTGCCACTGCTGCTGTTCCGGTTGCCACTGGGACTGTTGCTGTTGCCAGGGGTGTTCCTGCAACGATTGCCCAACCTGCGATTGCTGACTAGCATCCTGCTGTTGCTGCAGTTGCTGCTGCTGCTGCTCCCATAGCTGTTGCTGCCATTGTTGTTCCTGCTGCTCTGACCAGCTGCTGCTGCTGCTGCTGCTGCCCTTGCTCCTGCTGCTGCTGCTGCTGCTGCTGCTGCTGCTGCTGCTGCTGCTGCTGCCCTTGCTCCTGCTGCTGCTGCTGCTGCTGCTGCTCTGACCACTGCTCCTGCTGCTGCTGTGTTTCCTGTTGCTGCAGCAGCTGCTGCTGCTGATCCCATTGCTGTTGCTGCCATTGTTGTTCCTGCTGCTCTGACCACTGCTGCTGCTGCTGCTCCAGCTGCTGCTGCTGCTGCTGCTGCTGTTCCTGCCCTTGCTCCTGCAGCTGTGGCCACTGCTCCTTCTCCGCCTCCTGCTGCTGCTGCTGTCCTTGCTCCTGCTGCAGCCACTGCTGTTGTTGCTGCTTGTGCTGCTGCTGCTCAAAACCACCATCAACCAACCCCACACCAGCAGCACCATCCACCGAGGTAGAAACACCCTGCTGCAAACTGGTCTGCCCTGCACCAACACCCCCCTGCAACCCCACCTGCTCTGCTCCCAACTGCTGCAACCCCACCTGCTCTGTCCCTGCATGTTCGGCAGAACCACACTCCTGGCTCGCCGTGAGGGCAGCATTTACGACCTCAAACGCGCTCTGGTCCCCATCCCTCACGCCAGCAGCCACAGCCGCTGCTCTCGCAGGCTCAAACCCCTGCGCCAGAAGAAGAGACTCCACCTTCGCTACCAGCTGCCCTGGGGACATTGGGGGTTCAACCGGGGTATCAAGTGGGGTTTCAACCGGGGTTTCAAGTGCCTCGGAGGGGTTTGCAGCTTCACCTGGAAATTCACCTGGATATTCACTTGGATATTCACCTGGATATTCACTTGGATATTCACTAAGAGGTTCACTCGGTGCTTGAATCGGAGCTTCAACGGGGTTGTGATCTGGGACTTGGCTCAGAGCTTGACTCGGAGCTTGACTTGAAGGTTGAATGGGAGGCGTTTGAAAGTGCGTCGACTCGAACGGCGCCTGCGGCGCCTCGGAATTTGCTGCGTGTGACTCAAAATTTGGAGCGTGAATGGAAGGTTGGCTTGAATGTTCACTTGCGGGTTGACTGGGAGATTGAACCAGAGGGTTTTGCAAGTGCCTGGAGTCAAACGGTTGAAGTGAGGTTGGTGCAGAGGCGAGGAGCGAGGGAGGGCTCATGTTGGGGGCTTGAGAGTGTTGGGAGAAGTGGGCAGCAGGCGGGAGGGTGGGCGGCATGGGTGGCAAGTGTGACTGTGTGGGCGGCAGGGGCAGCTGTGTGGGTGGCAAAGAGGAATTCGGGGGAGGATAGGGGAAGGTTGATGGTGTATTGGAGGGGAACTGTTGTAGCTGTTGCTGCAGCTTCTGTTGCTGCTGCTGTTGCTGCTGCTGCAGCAGCAGCTGCTGTTGCTGCTGCTGTTGCTGTTGCTGATACTGCTCTTGATAACGCTTGTGCAGCAGCAGTAATTGCTGCTGCTGGTGCAGCTGATGCTGCCGTTGCACAATTCGTTGCTGCTGCAGCTGCTGTTTCTCAAGCTGTTGCTGTTGCTGCAATTGCTGATTCTGGTGACTCTGCCAGTGCTGATAGTGCGCCTGCACCTGACTTTGCTGCTGTTGCTGTTGTTGCTGCTGTTGCTGTTGTTGCTGCTGTTGCTGCTGCTGTTGCTGCTGATATTGTTGCTCTTGCTGCTGATATGGCTGTTGCAGCAGATTCTGCTGCGATTGCTGCAGTGGTTGCAGCTGCTGATAACGGTAGACTTGCTGCTGCTGCTGCTGCTGCTGCTGCTGCTGTTGCAGTTGCTGTGCCCCCATCTGCCCTGCTACCAGCACCGTTCGACCAGCGGGGAGGTTTCCGGAAGTGTTCTGCACAGAAGGAAAGCCGGAACCACGGCGAGCACTGCTTGCACTGTTCTGGTGAGCAGCCTCGTTAATAACCTCTCCTTTATCTGCAGTGGACGCCGATCGAGGCCTCCGTGGTCGCAACCGCCTGCTTGACCCCTCCGCCCCTCCTCCCGCTACTCCTACTCCTCCAGTTGCGGCGGCTGCAGCGGCTGCTACTGCTGCTGCTGCCGCCTCTGTTAATCCTGCCCCTCCTCTTCCTCCTTTCCCACTTCCTCCTCTGCTGCCTCCACCTGCTGTTGTTGCTGCAGGAGGATTACCACCTGGAAAACCACCTGAGAATGCACTTGTAAATCCACCTGGAAATCCACCTGAAAGTCCCCCTGGACCAGACCCTGCCTGATGAGGGACCCACGCATTCTGTGCCCCCACCTGCTGTCCTAAGTGCTGCTGGTACTGCTGCTGCTGCTGCTGATATCGCTGTTGATACTGCTGTTGAATCTGCCATTTCTGTTCTTGCAACAGCTCAGCGCCACTAGCAGCACCAGCAGAAGAATCAGCCAAGGAAGCATTGCCCACAAAAACACCAGCACCAGGACCATCAGGCACCACGCTACCAGCCATACTAGCAGTTGCAGCACCGGCAACACCACCACCATCAGCAGCACCAGCAGCATATGCACCAGTCCCAGTCCCGCCCGTGGCAATCCCAGCAGTTCCCATCAGCTGAGCTTCCATCGCTGCCCCATCCATCAAATCCGTATCTGTGGGCAGAGGGATGTTCCAGAACGACCCATCATCACCACCCTCCACCGCACCCCCTCCCCCTCCCCCTCCCCCCGCTCCTACTCCCCCCCACGCTTCTCCTCCCCCTCCCCCGCCTCCTCCGCCCCATGCTTCCCCTACTGCAACCCCATTCCCCCCTCCGGCAATCCCATCCCCTGTTGCTGTCAACTGCGAGTCGAAGAACGAATCAGGGTCAATGTTCGCTGCTGTTATAATCACACCCGGTGCTGTCCCGTTCCCTGCAGTCACTGTTGCTGCCGTGGCTTGACCCAATATTGCCCCACCACCAGCTTCACCAGGAAAGCCAGGCGACTGCTCCACTGTTCCAGCGCCCCTGCTGCTCTTTCTCTTCCCCCCTCCCCTTCCACCTTCTCCCCCTTTCCCTCCCTTACCTGCCCCTCCTCCCGCCCCTCCCCCTCCCGCCCCTCCCCCTCCTTCTCCTCCCGCTCCTGCTCCTGCTCCTGCTCCTCCCCCCGCCCCTGCTCCGCCTGCTGCTACTTCTGCTGGTGTTGCATCCAGAGCAGGGGCAGCAGCCGTGCCATGTGGCGGCCAATCAAGGGGGTCCACGTGGTTTGGACGGCAGGGATGCAGCTTGTTGGCGATCTTACGGCAGCGGTTGCACTTGAGGTAGAGCAGGATCGGTATGTCCAGCTGCTCGTCTAGCTGTAATGTATCGCCATGGAACCAGGCTGCAGAAAGGGGAACGTGGAAAGAAACAGGCCGAGAGTGCACTTGAGATGATGCAGGATCGATTTTTGCAGCGCCCAAAAAAACATCTCAACTCAAAAACTGAGGCGCCTCAAAAGCCGACCCAAAAAAAAAAAAAAAAGAGGCGCCTAAAAAATCGGAACGCGGAAAGAAGCAAGCCAAGAGGAGGGCACTTGAGATCAAGCAAGATCGGAACAAGATGCTCGTCTCATTGCAGCGTATCTCCATGGAGCCACACAGGGGAATCGGAACATGAAAGTGAATAGAGCGTGGAGAAGGGAGAAGAGAGAGTGTCAGCTTGAAAGCAGGGAGAGAATGGAAAGCAAGGAAAGCAGGGAGAGAATGGAAAGCAAGGAAAGCAGGGAGAGAATGGAAAGCAAGGAAAGCAGGGAGAGAATGGAAAGCAAGGAAAGCAGGGAGAGAATGGAAAGCAAGGAAAGCAGGGAGAGAATGGAAAGCAAGGAAAGCAGGGAGAGAATGGAAAGCAAGGAAAGCAGGGAGAGAATGGAAAGCAAGGAAAGCAGGGAGAGAATGGAAAGCAAGGAAAGCAGGGAGAGAATGGAAAGCAAGGAAAGCAGGGAGAGAATGGAAAGCAAGGAAAGCAGGGAGAGAATGGAAAGCAAGGAAAGCAGGGAGAGAATGGAAAGCAAGGAAAGCAGGGAGAGAATGGAAAGCAAGGAAAGCAGGGAGAGAATGGAAAGCAAGGAAAGCAGGGAGAGAATGGAAAGCAAGGAAAGCAGGGAGAGAATGGAAAGCAAGGAAAGCAGGGAGAGAATGGAAAGCAAGGAAAGCAGGGAGAGAATGGAAAGCAAGGAAAGCAGGGAGAGAATGGAAAGCAAGGAAAGCAGGGAGAGAATGGAAAGCAAGGAAAGCAGGGAGAGAATGGAAAGCAAGGAAAGCAGGGAGAGAATGGAAAGCAAGGAAAGCAGGGAGAGAATGGAAAGCAAGGAAAGCAGGGAGAGAATGGAAAGCAAGGAAAGCAGGGAGAGAATGGAAAGCAAGGAAAGCAGGGAGAGAATGGAAAGCAAGGAAAGCAGGGAGAGAATGGAAAGCAAGGAAAGCAGGGAGAGAATGGAAAGCAAGGAAAGCAGGGAGAGAATGGAAAGCAAGGAAAGCAGGGAGAGAATGGAAAGCAAGGAAAGCAGGGAGAGAATGGAAAGCAAGGAAAGCAGGGAGAGAATGGAAAGCAAGGAAAGCAGGGAGAGAATGGAAAGCAAGGAAAGCAGGGAGAGAATGGAAAGCAAGGAAAGCAGGGAGAGAATGGAAAGCAAGGAAAGCAGGGAGAGAATGGAAAGCAAGGAAAGCAGGGAGAGAATGGAAAGCAAGGAAAGCAGGGAGAGAATGGAAAGCAAGGAAAGCAGGGAGAGAATGGAAAGCAAGGAAAGCAGGGAGAGAATGGAAAGCAAGGAAAGCAGGGAGAGAATGGAAAGCAAGGAAAGCAGGGAGAGAATGGAAAGCAAGGAAAGCAGGGAGAGAATGGAAAGCAAGGAAAGCAGGGAGAGAATGGAAAGCAAGGAAAGCAGGGAGAGAATGGAAAGCAAGGAAAGCAGGGAGAGAATGGAAAGCAAGGAAAGCAGGGAGAGAATGGAAAGCAAGGAAAGCAGGGAGAGAATGGAAAGCAAGGAAAGCAGGGAGAGAATGGAAAGCAAGGAAAGCAGGGAGAGAATGGAAAGCAAGGAAAGCAGGGAGAGAATGGAAAGCAAGGAAAGCAGGGAGAGAATGGAAAGCAAGGAAAGCAGGGAGAGAATGGAAAGCAAGGAAAGCAGGGAGAGAATGGAAAGCAAGGAAAGCAGGGAGAGAATGGAAAGCAAGGAAAGCAGGGAGAGAATGGAAAGCAAGGAAAGCAGGGAGAGAATGGAAAGCAAGGAAAGCAGGGAGAGAATGGAAAGCAAGGAAAGCAGGGAGAGAATGGAAAGCAAGGAAAGCAGGGAGAGAATGGAAAGCAAGGAAAGCAGGGAGAGAATGGAAAGCAAGGAAAGCAGGGAGAGAATGGAAAGCAAGGAAAGCAGGGAGAGAATGGAAAGCAAGGAAAGCAGGGAGAGAATGGAAAGCAAGGAAAGCAGGGAGAGAATGGAAAGCAAGGAAAGCAGGGAGAGAATGGAAAGCAAGGAAAGCAGGGAGAGAATGGAAAGCAAGGAAAGCAGGGAGAGAATGGAAAGCAAGGAAAGCAGGGAGAGAATGGAAAGCAAGGAAAGCAGGGAGAGAATGGAAAGCAAGGAAAGCAGGGAGAGAATGGAAAGCAAGGAAAGCAGGGAGAGAATGGAAAGCAAGGAAAGCAGGGAGAGAATGGAAAGCAAGGAAAGCAGGGAGAGAATGGAAAGCAAGGAAAGCAGGGAGAGAATGGAAAGCAAGGAAAGCAGGGAGAGAATGGAAAGCAAGGAAAGCAGGGAGAGAATGGAAAGCAAGGAAAGCAGGGAGAGAATGGAAAGCAAGGAAAGCAGGGAGAGAATGGAAAGCAAGGAAAGCAGGGAGAGAATGGAAAGCAAGGAAAGCAGGGAGAGAATGGAAAGCAAGGAAAGCAGGGAGAGAATGGAAAGCAAGGAAAGCAGGGAGAGAATGGAAAGCAAGGAAAGCAGGGAGAGAATGGAAAGCAAGGAAAGCAGGGAGAGAATGGAAAGCAAGGAAAGCAGGGAGAGAATGGAAAGCAAGGAAAGCAGGGAGAGAATGGAAAGCAAGGAAAGCAGGGAGAGAATGGAAAGCAAGGAAAGCAGGGAGAGAATGGAAAGCAAGGAAAGCAGGGAGAGAATGGAAAGCAAGGAAAGCAGGGAGAGAATGGAAAGCAAGGAAAGCAGGGAGAGAATGGAAAGCAAGGAAAGCAGGGAGAGAATGGAAAGCAAGGAAAGCAGGGAGAGAATGGAAAGCAAGGAAAGCAGGGAGAGAATGGAAAGCAAGGAAAGCAGGGAGAGAATGGAAAGCAAGGAAAGCAGGGAGAGAATGGAAAGCAAGGAAAGCAGGGAGAGAATGGAAAGCAAGGAAAGCAGGGAGAGAATGGAAAGCAAGGAAAGCAGGGAGAGAATGGAAAGCAAGGAAAGCAGGGAGAGAATGGAAAGCAAGGAAAGCAGGGAGAGAATGGAAAGCAAGGAAAGCAGGGAGAGAATGGAAAGCAAGGAAAGCAGGGAGAGAATGGAAAGCAAGGAAAGCAGGGAGAGAATGGAAAGCAAGGAAAGCAGGGAGAGAATGGAAAGCAAGGAAAGCAGGGAGAGAATGGAAAGCAAGGAAAGCAGGGAGAGAATGGAAAGCAAGGAAAGCAGGGAGAGAATGGAAAGCAAGGAAAGCAGGGAGAGAATGGAAAGCAAGGAAAGCAGGGAGAGAATGGAAAGCAAGGAAAGCAGGGAGAGAATGGAAAGCAAGGAAAGCAGGGAGAGAATGGAAAGCAAGGAAAGCAGGGAGAGAATGGAAAGCAAGGAAAGCAGGGAGAGAATGGAAAGCAAGGAAAGCAGGGAGAGAATGGAAAGCAAGGAAAGCAGGGAGAGAATGGAAAGCAAGGAAAGCAGGGAGAGAATGGAAAGCAAGGAAAGCAGGGAGAGAATGGAAAGCAAGGAAAGCAGGGAGAGAATGGAAAGCAAGGAAAGCAGGGAGAGAATGGAAAGCAAGGAAAGCAGGGAGAGAATGGAAAGCAAGGAAAGCAGGGAGAGAATGGAAAGCAAGGAAAGCAGGGAGAGAATGGAAAGCAAGGAAAGCAGGGAGAGAATGGAAAGCAAGGAAAGCAGGGAGAGAATGGAAAGCAAGGAAAGCAGGGAGAGAATGGAAAGCAAGGAAAGCAGGGAGAGAATGGAAAGCAAGGAAAGCAGGGAGAGAATGGAAAGCAAGGAAAGCAGGGAGAGAATGGAAAGCAAGGAAAGCAGGGAGAGAATGGAAAGCAAGGAAAGCAGGGAGAGAATGGAAAGCAAGGAAAGCAGGGAGAGAATGGAAAGCAAGGAAAGCAGGGAGAGAATGGAAAGCAAGGAAAGCAGGGAGAGAATGGAAAGCAAGGAAAGCAGGGAGAGAATGGAAAGCAAGGAAAGCAGGGAGAGAATGGAAAGCAAGGAAAGCAGGGAGAGAATGGAAAGCAAGGAAAGCAGGGAGAGAATGGAAAGCAAGGAAAGCAGGGAGAGAATGGAAAGCAAGGAAAGCAGGGAGAGAATGGAAAGCAAGGAAAGCAGGGAGAGAATGGAAAGCAAGGAAAGCAGGGAGAGAATGGAAAGCAAGGAAAGCAGGGAGAGAATGGAAAGCAAGGAAAGCAGGGAGAGAATGGAAAGCAAGGAAAGCAGGGAGAGAATGGAAAGCAAGGAAAGCAGGGAGAGAATGGAAAGCAAGGAAAGCAGGGAGAGAATGGAAAGCAAGGAAAGCAGGGAGAGAATGGAAAGCAAGGAAAGCAGGGAGAGAATGGAAAGCAAGGAAAGCAGGGAGAGAATGGAAAGCAAGGAAAGCAGGGAGAGAATGGAAAGCAAGGAAAGCAGGGAGAGAATGGAAAGCAAGGAAAGCAGGGAGAGAATGGAAAGCAAGGAAAGCAGGGAGAGAATGGAAAGCAAGGAAAGCAGGGAGAGAATGGAAAGCAAGGAAAGCAGGGAGAGAATGGAAAGCAAGGAAAGCAGGGAGAGAATGGAAAGCAAGGAAAGCAGGGAGAGAATGGAAAGCAAGGAAAGCAGGGAGAGAATGGAAAGCAAGGAAAGCAGGGAGAGAATGGAAAGCAAGGAAAGCAGGGAGAGAATGGAAAGCAAGGAAAGCAGGGAGAGAATGGAAAGCAAGGAAAGCAGGGAGAGAATGGAAAGCAAGGAAAGCAGGGAGAGAATGGAAAGCAAGGAAAGCAGGGAGAGAATGGAAAGCAAGGAAAGCAGGGAGAGAATGGAAAGCAAGGAAAGCAGGGAGAGAATGGAAAGCAAGGAAAGCAGGGAGAGAATGGAAAGCAAGGAAAGCAGGGAGAGAATGGAAAGCAAGGAAAGCAGGGAGAGAATGGAAAGCAAGGAAAGCAGGGAGAGAATGGAAAGCAAGGAAAGCAGGGAGAGAATGGAAAGCAAGGAAAGCAGGGAGAGAATGGAAAGCAAGGAAAGCAGGGAGAGAATGGAAAGCAAGGAAAGCAGGGAGAGAATGGAAAGCAAGGAAAGCAGGGAGAGAATGGAAAGCAAGGAAAGCAGGGAGAGAATGGAAAGCAAGGAAAGCAGGGAGAGAATGGAAAGCAAGGAAAGCAGGGAGAGAATGGAAAGCAAGGAAAGCAGGGAGAGAATGGAAAGCAAGGAAAGCAGGGAGAGAATGGAAAGCAAGGAAAGCAGGGAGAGAATGGAAAGCAAGGAAAGCAGGGAGAGAATGGAAAGCAAGGAAAGCAGGGAGAGAATGGAAAGCAAGGAAAGCAGGGAGAGAATGGAAAGCAAGGAAAGCAGGGAGAGAATGGAAAGCAAGGAAAGCAGGGAGAGAATGGAAAGCAAGGAAAGCAGGGAGAGAATGGAAAGCAAGGAAAGCAGGGAGAGAATGGAAAGCAAGGAAAGCAGGGAGAGAATGGAAAGCAAGGAAAGCAGGGAGAGAATGGAAAGCAAGGAAAGCAGGGAGAGAATGGAAAGCAAGGAAAGCAGGGAGAGAATGGAAAGCAAGGAAAGCAGGGAGAGAATGGAAAGCAAGGAAAGCAGGGAGAGAATGGAAAGCAAGGAAAGCAGGGAGAGAATGGAAAGCAAGGAAAGCAGGGAGAGAATGGAAAGCAAGGAAAGCAGGGAGAGAATGGAAAGCAAGGAAAGCAGGGAGAGAATGGAAAGCAAGGAAAGCAGGGAGAGAATGGAAAGCAAGGAAAGCAGGGAGAGAATGGAAAGCAAGGAAAGCAGGGAGAGAATGGAAAGCAAGGAAAGCAGGGAGAGAATGGAAAGCAAGGAAAGCAGGGAGAGAATGGAAAGCAAGGAAAGCAGGGAGAGAATGGAAAGCAAGGAAAGCAGGGAGAGAATGGAAAGCAAGGAAAGCAGGGAGAGAATGGAAAGCAAGGAAAGCAGGGAGAGAATGGAAAGCAAGGAAAGCAGGGAGAGAATGGAAAGCAAGGAAAGCAGGGAGAGAATGGAAAGCAAGGAAAGCAGGGAGAGAATGGAAAGCAAGGAAAGCAGGGAGAGAATGGAAAGCAAGGAAAGCAGGGAGAGAATGGAAAGCAAGGAAAGCAGGGAGAGAATGGAAAGCAAGGAAAGCAGGGAGAGAATGGAAAGCAAGGAAAGCAGGGAGAGAATGGAAAGCAAGGAAAGCAGGGAGAGAATGGAAAGCAAGGAAAGCAGGGAGAGAATGGAAAGCAAGGAAAGCAGGGAGAGAATGGAAAGCAAGGAAAGCAGGGAGAGAATGGAAAGCAAGGAAAGCAGGGAGAGAATGGAAAGCAAGGAAAGCAGGGAGAGAATGGAAAGCAAGGAAAGCAGGGAGAGAATGGAAAGCAAGGAAAGCAGGGAGAGAATGGAAAGCAAGGAAAGCAGGGAGAGAATGGAAAGCAAGGAAAGCAGGGAGAGAATGGAAAGCAAGGAAAGCAGGGAGAGAATGGAAAGCAAGGAAAGCAGGGAGAGAATGGAAAGCAAGGAAAGCAGGGAGAGAATGGAAAGCAAGGAAAGCAGGGAGAGAATGGAAAGCAAGGAAAGCAGGGAGAGAATGGAAAGCAAGGAAAGCAGGGAGAGAATGGAAAGCAAGGAAAGCAGGGAGAGAATGGAAAGCAAGGAAAGCAGGGAGAGAATGGAAAGCAAGGAAAGCAGGGAGAGAATGGAAAGCAAGGAAAGCAGGGAGAGAATGGAAAGCAAGGAAAGCAGGGAGAGAATGGAAAGCAAGGAAAGCAGGGAGAGAATGGAAAGCAAGGAAAGCAGGGAGAGAATGGAAAGCAAGGAAAGCAGGGAGAGAATGGAAAGCAAGGAAAGCAGGGAGAGAATGGAAAGCAAGGAAAGCAGGGAGAGAATGGAAAGCAAGGAAAGCAGGGAGAGAATGGAAAGCAAGGAAAGCAGGGAGAGAATGGAAAGCAAGGAAAGCAGGGAGAGAATGGAAAGCAAGGAAAGCAGGGAGAGAATGGAAAGCAAGGAAAGCAGGGAGAGAATGGAAAGCAAGGAAAGCAGGGAGAGAATGGAAAGCAAGGAAAGCAGGGAGAGAATGGAAAGCAAGGAAAGCAGGGAGAGAATGGAAAGCAAGGAAAGCAGGGAGAGAATGGAAAGCAAGGAAAGCAGGGAGAGAATGGAAAGCAAGGAAAGCAGGGAGAGAATGGAAAGCAAGGAAAGCAGGGAGAGAATGGAAAGCAAGGAAAGCAGGGAGAGAATGGAAAGCAAGGAAAGCAGGGAGAGAATGGAAAGCAAGGAAAGCAGGGAGAGAATGGAAAGCAAGGAAAGCAGGGAGAGAATGGAAAGCAAGGAAAGCAGGGAGAGAATGGAAAGCAAGGAAAGCAGGGAGAGAATGGAAAGCAAGGAAAGCAGGGAGAGAATGGAAAGCAAGGAAAGCAGGGAGAGAATGGAAAGCAAGGAAAGCAGGGAGAGAATGGAAAGCAAGGAAAGCAGGGAGAGAATGGAAAGCAAGGAAAGCAGGGAGAGAATGGAAAGCAAGGAAAGCAGGGAGAGAATGGAAAGCAAGGAAAGCAGGGAGAGAATGGAAAGCAAGGAAAGCAGGGAGAGAATGGAAAGCAAGGAAAGCAGGGAGAGAATGGAAAGCAAGGAAAGCAGGGAGAGAATGGAAAGCAAGGAAAGCAGGGAGAGAATGGAAAGCAAGGAAAGCAGGGAGAGAATGGAAAGCAAGGAAAGCAGGGAGAGAATGGAAAGCAAGGAAAGCAGGGAGAGAATGGAAAGCAAGGAAAGCAGGGAGAGAATGGAAAGCAAGGAAAGCAGGGAGAGAATGGAAAGCAAGGAAAGCAGGGAGAGAATGGAAAGCAAGGAAAGCAGGGAGAGAATGGAAAGCAAGGAAAGCAGGGAGAGAATGGAAAGCAAGGAAAGCAGGGAGAGAATGGAAAGCAAGGAAAGCAGGGAGAGAATGGAAAGCAAGGAAAGCAGGGAGAGAATGGAAAGCAAGGAAAGCAGGGAGAGAATGGAAAGCAAGGAAAGCAGGGAGAGAATGGAAAGCAAGGAAAGCAGGGAGAGAATGGAAAGCAAGGAAAGCAGGGAGAGAATGGAAAGCAAGGAAAGCAGGGAGAGAATGGAAAGCAAGGAAAGCAGGGAGAGAATGGAAAGCAAGGAAAGCAGGGAGAGAATGGAAAGCAAGGAAAGCAGGGAGAGAATGGAAAGCAAGGAAAGCAGGGAGAGAATGGAAAGCAAGGAAAGCAGGGAGAGAATGGAAAGCAAGGAAAGCAGGGAGAGAATGGAAAGCAAGGAAAGCAGGGAGAGAATGGAAAGCAAGGAAAGCAGGGAGAGAATGGAAAGCAAGGAAAGCAGGGAGAGAATGGAAAGCAAGGAAAGCAGGGAGAGAATGGAAAGCAAGGAAAGCAGGGAGAGAATGGAAAGCAAGGAAAGCAGGGAGAGAATGGAAAGCAAGGAAAGCAGGGAGAGAATGGAAAGCAAGGAAAGCAGGGAGAGAATGGAAAGCAAGGAAAGCAGGGAGAGAATGGAAAGCAAGGAAAGCAGGGAGAGAATGGAAAGCAAGGAAAGCAGGGAGAGAATGGAAAGCAAGGAAAGCAGGGAGAGAATGGAAAGCAAGGAAAGCAGGGAGAGAATGGAAAGCAAGGAAAGCAGGGAGAGAATGGAAAGCAAGGAAAGCAGGGAGAGAATGGAAAGCAAGGAAAGCAGGGAGAGAATGGAAAGCAAGGAAAGCAGGGAGAGAATGGAAAGCAAGGAAAGCAGGGAGAGAATGGAAAGCAAGGAAAGCAGGGAGAGAATGGAAAGCAAGGAAAGCAGGGAGAGAATGGAAAGCAAGGAAAGCAGGGAGAGAATGGAAAGCAAGGAAAGCAGGGAGAGAATGGAAAGCAAGGAAAGCAGGGAGAGAATGGAAAGCAAGGAAAGCAGGGAGAGAATGGAAAGCAAGGAAAGCAGGGAGAGAATGGAAAGCAAGGAAAGCAGGGAGAGAATGGAAAGCAAGGAAAGCAGGGAGAGAATGGAAAGCAAGGAAAGCAGGGAGAGAATGGAAAGCAAGGAAAGCAGGGAGAGAATGGAAAGCAAGGAAAGCAGGGAGAGAATGGAAAGCAAGGAAAGCAGGGAGAGAATGGAAAGCAAGGAAAGCAGGGAGAGAATGGAAAGCAAGGAAAGCAGGGAGAGAATGGAAAGCAAGGAAAGCAGGGAGAGAATGGAAAGCAAGGAAAGCAGGGAGAGAATGGAAAGCAAGGAAAGCAGGGAGAGAATGGAAAGCAAGGAAAGCAGGGAGAGAATGGAAAGCAAGGAAAGCAGGGAGAGAATGGAAAGCAAGGAAAGCAGGGAGAGAATGGAAAGCAAGGAAAGCAGGGAGAGAATGGAAAGCAAGGAAAGCAGGGAGAGAATGGAAAGCAAGGAAAGCAGGGAGAGAATGGAAAGCAAGGAAAGCAGGGAGAGAATGGAAAGCAAGGAAAGCAGGGAGAGAATGGAAAGCAAGGAAAGCAGGGAGAGAATGGAAAGCAAGGAAAGCAGGGAGAGAATGGAAAGCAAGGAAAGCAGGGAGAGAATGGAAAGCAAGGAAAGCAGGGAGAGAATGGAAAGCAAGGAAAGCAGGGAGAGAATGGAAAGCAAGGAAAGCAGGGAGAGAATGGAAAGCAAGGAAAGCAGGGAGAGAATGGAAAGCAAGGAAAGCAGGGAGAGAATGGAAAGCAAGGAAAGCAGGGAGAGAATGGAAAGCAAGGAAAGCAGGGAGAGAATGGAAAGCAAGGAAAGCAGGGAGAGAATGGAAAGCAAGGAAAGCAGGGAGAGAATGGAAAGCAAGGAAAGCAGGGAGAGAATGGAAAGCAAGGAAAGCAGGGAGAGAATGGAAAGCAAGGAAAGCAGGGAGAGAATGGAAAGCAAGGAAAGCAGGGAGAGAATGGAAAGCAAGGAAAGCAGGGAGAGAATGGAAAGCAAGGAAAGCAGGGAGAGAATGGAAAGCAAGGAAAGCAGGGAGAGAATGGAAAGCAAGGAAAGCAGGGAGAGAATGGAAAGCAAGGAAAGCAGGGAGAGAATGGAAAGCAAGGAAAGCAGGGAGAGAATGGAAAGCAAGGAAAGCAGGGAGAGAATGGAAAGCAAGGAAAGCAGGGAGAGAATGGAAAGCAAGGAAAGCAGGGAGAGAATGGAAAGCAAGGAAAGCAGGGAGAGAATGGAAAGCAAGGAAAGCAGGGAGAGAATGGAAAGCAAGGAAAGCAGGGAGAGAATGGAAAGCAAGGAAAGCAGGGAGAGAATGGAAAGCAAGGAAAGCAGGGAGAGAATGGAAAGCAAGGAAAGCAGGGAGAGAATGGAAAGCAAGGAAAGCAGGGAGAGAATGGAAAGCAAGGAAAGCAGGGAGAGAATGGAAAGCAAGGAAAGCAGGGAGAGAATGGAAAGCAAGGAAAGCAGGGAGAGAATGGAAAGCAAGGAAAGCAGGGAGAGAATGGAAAGCAAGGAAAGCAGGGAGAGAATGGAAAGCAAGGAAAGCAGGGAGAGAATGGAAAGCAAGGAAAGCAGGGAGAGAATGGAAAGCAAGGAAAGCAGGGAGAGAATGGAAAGCAAGGAAAGCAGGGAGAGAATGGAAAGCAAGGAAAGCAGGGAGAGAATGGAAAGCAAGGAAAGCAGGGAGAGAATGGAAAGCAAGGAAAGCAGGGAGAGAATGGAAAGCAAGGAAAGCAGGGAGAGAATGGAAAGCAAGGAAAGCAGGGAGAGAAGGAAAGCAGGAGAGAGAGAAGGTAAAGCAGGGAGAGAAGAGAAGGTAAAGCAGGGAGAGAAGAGAAGGTAAAGCAGGAGAGAAGAGAAGGTAAAGCAGGGAGAGAAGAGAAGGTAAAGCAGGGAGAGAAGAGAAGGTAAAGCAGGGAGAGAAGAGAAGGTAAAGCAGGGAGAGAAGAGAAGGTAAAGCAGGGAGAGAAGAGAAGGTAAAGCAGGGAGAGAAGAGAAGGTAAAGCAGGGAGAGAAGAGAAGGTAAAGCAGGGAGAGAAGAGAAGGTAAAGCAGGGAGAGAAGAGAAGGTAAAGCAGGGAGAGAAGAGAAGGTAAAGCAGGGAGAGAAGAGAAGGTAAAGCAGGGAGAGAAGAGAAGGTAAAGCAGGGAGAGAAGAGAAGGTAAAGCAGGGAGAGAAGAGAAGGTAAAGCAGGGAGAGAAGAGAAGGTAAAGCAGGGAGAGAAGAGAAGGTAAAGCAGGAGAGAGAGAAGGTAAAGCAGGGAGAGAAGAGAAGGTAAAGCAGGAGAGAAGAGAAGGTAAAGCAGGGAGAGAAGAGAAGGTAAAGCAGGGAGAGAAGAGAAGGTAAAGCAGGGAGAGAAGAGAAGGTAAAGCAGGGAGAGAAGAGAAGGTAAAGCAGGGAGAGAAGAGAAGGTAAAGCAGGGAGAGAAGAGAAGGTAAAGCAGGGAGAGAAGAGAAGGTAAAGCAGGGAGAGAAGAGAAGGTAAAGCAGGGAGAGAAGAGAAGGTAAAGCAGGGAGAGAAGAGAAGGTAAAGCAGGGAGAGAAGAGAAGGTAAAGCAGGGAGAGAAGAGAAGGTAAAGCAGGGAGAGAAGAGAAGGTAAAGCAGGGAGAGAAGAGAAGGTAAAGCAGGGAGAGAAGAGAAGGTAAAGCAGGGAGAGAAGAGAAGGTAAAGCAGGGAGAGAAGAGAAGGTAAAGCAGGGAGAGAAGAGAAGGTAAAGCAGGGAGAGAAGAGAAGGTAAAGCAGGGAGAGAAGAGAAGGTAAAGCAGGGAGAGAAGAGAAGGTAAAGCAGGGAGAGAAGAGAAGGTAAAGCAGGGAGAGAAGAGAAGGTAAAGCAGGGAGAGAAGAGAAGGTAAAGCAGGGAGAGAAGAGAAGGTAAAGCAGGGAGAGAAGAGAAGGTAAAGCAGGGAGAGAAGAGAAGGTAAAGCAGGGAGAGAAGAGAAGGTAAGCAGGGAGAGAAGAGAAGGTAAAGCAGGGAGAGAAGAGAAGGTAAAGCAGGGAGAGAAGAGAAGGTAAAGCAGGGAGAGAAGAGAAGGTAAAGCAGGGAGAGAAGAGAAGGTAAAGCAGGGAGAGAAGAGAAGGTAAAGCAGGGAGAGAAGAGAAGGTAAAGCAGGGAGAGAAGAGAAGGTAAAGCAGGGAGAGAAGAGAAGGTAAAGCAGGGAGAGAAGAGAAGGTAAAGCAGGGAGAGAAGAGAAGGTAAAGCAGGGAGAGAAGAGAAGGTAAAGCAGGGAGAGAAGAGAAGGTAAAGCAGGGAGAGAAGAGAAGGTAAAGCAGGGAGAGAAGAGAAGGTAAAGCAGGAGAGAGAGAGAAGGTAAAGCAGGGAGAGAAGAGAAGGTAAAGCAGGGAGAGAAGAGAAGGTAAAGCAGGGAGAGAAGAGAAGGTAAAGCAGGGAGAGAAGAGAAGGTAAAGCAGGGAGAGAAGAGAAGGTAAAGCAGGGAGAGAAGAGAAGGTAAAGCAGGGAGAGAAGAGAAGGTAAAGCAGGGAGAGAAGAGAAGGTAAAGCAGGGAGAGAAGAGAAGGTAAAGCAGGGAGAGAAGAGAAGGTAAAGCAGGGAGAGAAGAGAAGGTAAAGCAGGGAGAGAAGAGAAGGTAAAGCAGGGAGAGAAGAGAAGGTAAAGCAGGGAGAGAAGAGAAGGTAAAGCAGGGAGAGAAGAGAAGGTAAAGCAGGGAGAGAAGAGAAGGTAAAGCAGGGAGAGAAGAGAAGGTAAAGCAGGGAGAGAAGAGAAGGTAAAGCAGGGAGAGAAGAGAAGGTAAAGCAGGGAGAGAAGAGAAGGTAAAGCAGGGAGAGAAGAGAAGGTAAAGCAGGGAGAGAAGAGAAGGTAAAGCAGGGAGAGAAGAGAAGGTAAAGCAGGGAGAGAAGAGAAGGTAAAGCAGGGAGAGAAGAGAAGGTAAAGCAGGGAGAGAAGAGAAGGTAAAGCAGGGAGAGAAGAGAAGGTAAAGCAGGGAGAGAAGAGAAGGTAAAGCAGGGAGAGAAGAGAAGGTAAAGCAGGGAGAGAAGGGAGAACAACACAAAGCAGGAGGTTCAGATTTCCACAAACCAGCAACAAAAGGCTTACACTCACAGAAGTTGCAACAAGGGGCTTACAATCACAGAAGTTGCAGCCGACGTAGAAGCGGCTCTCATCATATCCCTCCTTGCATAGCTTACACGCCACTCCTGCTCCTTCCCCAATCCCGTACACCCCCATCGCCTTCTTGCCACCTGGCCCTGACGCTATATACTTCAATTTTAGCCCCTGCTCTCCCTTCGGTCTTTCTTTCTCGCCCTTGTCCCCCTTTCCTTTGGAGAAGTAATATCCTGCGACTGTGTGCCGGTTGCCCGGAGTCCCGGGCAGCGTCCAAACCGGGTGCTCTGCCCGGAAAACTCTCCGCCTCCTTTTGTGATCGTCGTCATGCCCTTCTGCTGCAGCAGCAGCAGCACCAGCACCGGCACCACCCCCACCAACAGCAGCATCACCATAAGCAGCGCCAGCCACACCAGCCGCACCAGCAGCAGCAGCAGCAGCAGCAGCAGCGGCAGCGGCGGCGGCGGCAGCAGCATCGGCGGCAGCAGCGGCTTCGGTAGCAGCAGCGGTGGCGGAGGCAGTGTCTTGTTGCGAGACGGAGAAGGCACAGTGGAGGCAGACGAGGAGGGAAGGAGGGGACGACGGGGATGGTGATAGCTCCGTGGGAGGGGCGGGATGGAAGGTGGGAGGGAGAAGGTCCGGGGGCGAGAGGCATGTGGTGTGAGTCAAGGCTGTGAGGGGGAAGTGGGGGAATGTTGGGGGAACGGGATGTGAAGGGGAGTGGAGCGGTAGGGGTGCACTGCATAAGATGAGTACGGACTACGTTCGTTGACTAACTAGGGCTAATAAGACAAGAAAGGGGGCCAAAAGATGAAAAGACTAGTTTCGAGGCGCCTCAAAACAAGAAAGGGGGCCAAAAGATGAAAAGGAGGAGCAGGAGTTGATGTAAAAAGGCCTGGAAAATGTTTTTTGAGAATTCTCAGAAAACTTGGAAAGACGCTCACCTTTGCAGGACACGCATAAAAAGACCTGACTGGCGCTGTAGAGTGGAGGGACAGAGGGCAGAGTGGAGGGAGAGAGGGCAGAGTGGAGGGAGAGAGGGCAGAGTGGAGGGACAGAGGGCAGAGTGGAGGGACAGAGGGCAGAGCGGGAGAAAAGGAGGAGAACGGCGAATTAGAAACGGGGAAAAAATAAAAGGAAAAAAAAATTGCGAGAAGGAAAGACGGTGCGAAAAGGAGAGGAAAAGCACAATATATGATCACTGCCAGGTGCCAGACACTATGATCACAAGACACGTCAGGCAATCGCATTGTAAATAGTATTTTGTGATCACCTCAAACTCCCACATGTGAGTCACCATCCTCGCTCCCCTACCACTCACCCACCGCCAAGTTGACTTTTGAGTTGACTAAATAGTCAACAAGATACGTCAGGCAATCGCATCCATAAATCACCTCAAACTCCCACATGTGAGTCACCATCCTCGCTCCCCTACCACTCACCCATCGCCTAGTTGACTTTTGAGTCGACTAAAAAGTCAACAAGATACGTCAGGCAATCGCATCATAAATCACCTCAAACTCCCACATGTGAGCCACCATCCACGCACCCCTACCACTCACCCATGGCCGAAGAGCCCTCGCATGCACACACCCTGCACGAATCGTCCTGTGCAAGACATGGATCTATGCAGGGAACACCCCCCATGCATTGAGTGTACCCGTCCTGCAGGGAACCCTCTTCCATGCAAGGCAATCACCCCATGCACCCTTGCTGCCACTCACCCATGGCCAAAGAGCCCTCGCATGCACACCCTGCACGAATCCACCACCGCCTCTGCGCCTCCTCCTGCTCCCGCTCCTCCTGCTCCCGCTCCTCCTGCTTCCCCTGCACCTCCTGCTCCCGCTCCTCCTGCTTCCCCTGCACCTCCTGCTTGACTCTGCACCGCCATAAGTCGGGCATACAAAGCAGCACACCGCTCTTCCATCTCCCTCTGCATTCTCCCCCGTGCCTCCGCCACTATTCTCGCCTGTACCTCCGCCCCCACCACCTGTGACATCCTCGTTACAGATGCCTGCTCCCGTTCCCTCCTCGCCCTCTCCCTCTCCTCCATCCGCCGCTGCCGCTCCCTCTCCCTCTCCTCCTTCACCCGCTCCTTCCTCTCCCGCCGATCCTCCTTCTCATGCTCCCTCGCCTCCCTCTCCCTCTCCCTCTCCCGCTCCCTCTCCTCCCGCTTCTGCTTCTCCTCCCGCTCCTGCCCCTGCTTCTCCTTCCCACGCCGCTTCCGCCCCTCCATCTCTCTACACTGAGCCACCATCGCCTGTACCATCATCTCCCTCCTCTCCCTCATCGCCCGCACCTTCTCCCTCACGAACTTCACAATAACAGCCCTGGCAGCTGCCTCTGCTGCCTCTCTCTCTGCTCGCACCAGCTTCGCATGCTCTTCCCAGATTTCTGTTCTCCTCCGGTGCTCAAACTCACGGATCAGCTCCAGTGGGACGAGCCTCTCAGGCACCCACACTCCCCCATCCTCGTCTTCCTCCTCCTCTTCCTCATCCTCCTGCCCCTCCTCGTCACTCTCTTCGACTTCCTCTACCTCCTGCACTACTTCTCTCATCTCTTCAATCTTCCTCTCTACCTTCCCTACTACTTGTTCGCTTTCTTCCCCCACTTTCTCCTCATTCTCCACAAGCCTCAGCTTGTTCTTATCAGCAACATCAGCAGCCTTTCCTCTGCCCGCAACCGCTCTCCCTCTCCCACCCTCCTCACCTCTCTCTTCCCCCTCCGTTTTCACCTCCTCCACCTCCTCCTCCTTGTCTTCATTCACCATTTCCACACCTTCTTCCTCCTCCTCCTCCTCCTTTTTCTCCTTACTTTTCTTCCCTGCCTTCACACCACCCTTCGCCCCACATAAGCTCCCCTTCACCACATCCGCAACTGCAGCCTTCACATTAACTCTCCCCTTCTCCCCATCTACTTTCTTCGCCCCTCCCTCCTCCTCCTTCACTCGGCTCCTCGTGACTCTCCGGCTCCCCTCAGGAATAATCTCTGGCTTTAATTCCCTCTTGCGCTTCTTCCCTGCCTTCTCCCCTTGCACCCCTACCTCCTTAACTACCTCCCCTCCTTCCTTCTCTCCCTCCTTCCCTCCCCTCTCTCCTCCGCCCACATCTGTGACCTTCTCACCACTGCCTCCGCCTCCATCCCCTCTTACCTCCTCCACTTCCGCAACACCAGCAACTGCAGCATCAGCTTCAGCAGAATCGGTGGGAGCAGCAGAAGCGGCGGCAGCAGCAGAAGCGGCGGCAGCAGCAGCAGCACGTTTGGCTTTCATATACTCAACCAGATGCTCCCCTCTCTTCCGCTTCTTACCAGCCGCTCCCCTTCCCCTCCCCCTTCCTGCTCCCCCCCTCCCACCTCTACCACCACCCCTTCCGCCTCTCCCTCTTCCTCTCCCCCTCCCTCTCCCCCTCCCCCTCCCTCTCCCCCTCCCTCTCCCTTTCTCCGTTTCCCTCTCTCCAAACAAATCCTCGTCCCTCTCTTCATATTCCTCCTCCTCCTCCTCCTCTTCCTCCTCACTCTCCTTCCCCCTCTCCTCCTCCTTCCCTCCCTCGCCCCTCTCTCTCCGTGCTCCTCACCTCCCTCTGCTCCTTCCTTGCAGGATCTATCTTCTTCTTTACCTGCTGCCGCCCCCTCCTCAACATCCCCCTTTGCCACAGTCGCATTCTCATCCTTCCCACCGTCTTTCCTCCTTCGTTTCCAGGGATTCAACTCTGTGACCTCCTGCACCTCTCGGCCAACGTTCTCCTCCCTCCCACACTCCTCGTCCTCCTGGGATAAATCCACCATTTCGCCACCTCCGTCCTTCCCACCATCACCACCACTGCCTATAACTTCCTCCACCTCTTCGTTCCTCTCTTCCTCCGCTGCCTCCCTCACCACCTCATTGTCCCTCATCTCCTTCCCAGGCGCCCCAAGAGTCACCTCCCCCTTTCCGGCCCCCTCGCCCTCCCCATCCTTCCCCTCCTCCATCTCCACCCCGTCAAGCCTTTGCACTTCAGCAACCCCCTCCTGGACGTTAACAGCTGGAGCTTCAGAATCGTGGGTCTCTTGAGTTTCTAATACCCATTGTGTGTCTTGTGCCTCCTGTGCCTCCTGTGTCCCTTGTGTCTCTTGGGTATCTTGAGTCCCATTCTTTCCCGCACCTGCTTCGCCACCAGACGCACCAACCTCGCAAGTGTCACCGTCAGCAGCCGCGCTGCCGTGGCCTTCAACACGGAGGGGAGGGGTGACAGAACCCACTCCGAACAAGTATTGCGCTGCTGGCACTGCACTCACTCCGCCCGCACCTCCCTCCCCTCCCACTGCCCCCCCTCCCCCTGCCTTCCATTCCCCTCGCTCTCCTCTTCTCGGCCGCTTTGCCTCCCTCTCGGCCCCCTCACCCTCCCCAGCCAAAACTTCCCTTACCTCCTCGCTCCTTTCCTCCTTAACTCCCAATCCCTTCATTTCCACATACCCCTTGCTTTCACTCCCCCTAGTCTTCGCCTCGTCCTTTCCAACCACCTTCACCTCCTCTTTCACGGTCTCCTCTTTCATCTTTTCCGCTTCATGCTTCACCACAGCCCTCCCTTTCCTCTCTGTGACTCCTCCCCCCGCCCCCACTCCCTCAATCACCTCCCTTTGCTTCTTCCTCCATGCCCTCACCCTCTCCCTCGCTCTCTCTTCTTCCTCCTCCTCTCCTCCTCCGAGTCACACTCTTCTTCATCCTCCTCTTCATCTCCCTCCTCCCTTTCCTCCTCGCTCTTCACAACCAGCAAATACTCCACACCCCTCTCCGCCCTCCACCTCCTCCCTTTCACAAACGGCGGCCGGAAATCCTTATCCAGAACAAACGAATCGCGCGACGCCACGTCACACAGCGAGACCCAGCTCTGCTCCGCCTCATCACCATCCTCATAAACAGCAGCAGCAGCACCACCAGCACCAGCAGCGGCACGAGCAGCGGCAGCAGCAGAAGCTACAGCGGCAGCGGCAGCGGCAGGAACAGCAACCAAAGGGGGACCAGCAGGGGTGGTGATCTGGTCCAACCGCATGAGCCCTTCGAGAGATCGCAGCTGCAGGGCCAGTTGCGCGACGGAGTGGGCAGCATCCACTCTCGCCTCCCACGCCACCTTCTCCGCCCTCACTGGCACCCCTCGGCGACTGGTAAAAGGCACTCCGTACAGCAGCCCTGGAAGCTTCTTAAAACCGCCTGTGGGTGGGAAGGGGGAGGAGGAAAAGGGGGGAAGAGAGGGAGATGGGATGATGGGTGAGTGAACAGGCAAGGGTGTTGATCTGGTCTCCAAGAATAAGCCCATGCAGCAATCGGTGGGCCACGGAGTGGGCAGCATCCACTCTCGCCTCCCATGCCACTTTCGCTGCCCGCACTGGCACCCCTCGGCGGCCAGCAAATGGCACTCCGTACAGCAATCCTGGGAGCTTCTTGAATCCGCCTGTGGGGTTGAGGGGGAGGCGGGAGGTGGGGCAGGTGGGGGGGGGGGGGAGAGGGAGGAAGGGAGGGAGGTGGGGAAAGGGGAAGAAAAAGAGGGGGTGTTGTTCTGGTCTAATGAAATAAGCCCCTCCAGCGACCACAGCTGCAGGGCCAGCTGAGCCACGGAGCATGCAGCATCCACCCTCACCTCCCACACCACCTTAAAGAGGCATGACTATTTTCCAACTTATGGATGCTAAATTCCCTGCTCTTGCCTGGATCCTAAACCCCTCACCTTGCCCAACCACACCACATACCTTGCCGAGCCACTCGCCGAGCCAAGTCCCGAGGCAGCTGCTCCCAGTCCGCAGCGTGCCGAGCCAAGCCAGAGCCTCGGAACCACTGCACCTTGACCCGCACCGCTCGCCGAGCCTCCATAAGCATCACCCACGCCGGCACCGAACCTGCCCCTGCTCCTCCCAAGCCTCTCCCCCCTCCTCCAAACCCGCTCCCTGGTCCCCCTCTCCCTCCTTGCGACTTTCGTCTTCGGCCAGAGGGGCGGGGGGCAGCAGCAGGGGCGACAGGCACTGGCTGTGCTTGTAACGGGAGGCTGGATGGGAGGGGCGCGGGTGGCTCTGGTTCCGCCGACCAATGGGAGGAGAGGGCGACAGTGCGGAGGGAACGGGCCACCTCCTTTATAAGCTGCTTCGCTTGGAGTAGAGACGTGGCTTGCACTGCACGCTGCCGCCAGTGCTGGCGCCAGTTGAAATCGTTCCAAGGGCCTTCCAACAGAGGGTGTAACTGCCCTTCCAGGTACATCAACCGTGTGACTACAGCATCAAGCCGCCCATCCCTTTCTTGTAACGCCTCCTCCCCCTTCATGCCCCGCACCCCTCCCAGCCCCACCCCTCCCCCCACACCAAAACCCACCAAATCTCTTCCCTTCCCCAAGCCTCCCGCCAGACCTCCCCCGAGCCTGCGCTGACTGGCAGCCCGGACGTTCCCGACAGCTGCAGCAGCAGTAGCAGTCGCAGAGGCAGCACGGGCAGCCGAGACAAGCAGGCAGTATTTCCTATGAGCCGCCTGGCAGTGCGCACACCAACCACACCGCTCCTTAAAAACACCCGCCCCTGCCGCCACCGCCGCTGCCGCCGCAGCAGCAGAGCTCCTACCCCCTGCTCCTCCTCCTGCCCCTGCTGCCCCAACCCGGCCCGAGAAGCTAACATACATCGGCCAGTAACCAGCAGGCATGCATTTCGCAAACACTCTCATCTGCTCGGTTACAGACATAAGCCCCTTAGACCGGCGCCCAGACCGTCTCGTTCTGTGCTCTGAATCGTCCTCGTCTCTGCTGCCTGCTGTGCCTCTCCTCTCCGCCTCCTGTGCGGCTGCTTCTGTGGCAGAGCAGAGCGCGAGGGCTAACGCTGAGGATACCTCCCCCAGGGAGTAGCGGTTCACATACGGCTCTACGAGCTCTGCTTCTCTTGCCCGCTCCGCTCGCTCCGCTCGCTCTGCCCTCTCTGCTCTCTTTACCCACTGCGCCTGCTCGGCATGCTGTGCTTGATGTTTCACCTGTTCTGCCTGCAAGGCTTCTTGCCTTCCCACTCCGGCCACAGCTACTGCCTGAGACAGGCTCTTTGGCACCTCGCCATCAGCACCAGCAGCAGCAGCGGCAGCAGCAGGAATAACTTCTCCAGTCTTCCCAGAAGCTGACATCTGAAGTCGTTCCCACAGCCTCGCCACCACCCGGGCAATCCGCTCTCCTCCCGGCTTGTGCCACGCAGCATTGGGCTCTTGTGAATCATTTTCAAACCCTGCCTGAGGTGCCAGTGAAGGGTCTGATGGGCCTGCCTCAGCAGTCAGGGAAGGGCCTGACAAGCCCGGGGGTTTCTCCTGTTCACCAGCCTCTGCTGCTCCGCTGCAGGGCTCTTGTTCCGCCCTTTGCTGCTCTCTGTGTTGTTCCGCTTCGTTTGCTGTTTGCGCTGTTGCTTCGTCAGCTGTTCCTACTGCTGCTACCTCTGTTGCTCCTCTTTCAACTGCCGCTGCTGGCTCTGCTGTCGTTTCTTGCGCTGCTGCTTCCAATGCTCCGTCTCGTTCTCCTCCTCCTCCTTCTCCTACACTGCCAGCAGCATCTTCTGGTCCTTCTCCTCCTGCAGCGCCTGCTGCCCCCTCTCCTGCCCCTGGCTGCACCTCAACCGTCGCTTCCTCTGCTGCTAAAAAGTGCTCGGACCCCAGTACAAACGAGAGGTCTACCTGCATAGGATCCTCCCCTCCTTGTGCCTCTGCTTGTCCTATTTCTGCCGTGCCTGCATTTCCTGCATCTCCTGTCTCTCCACCACCTCCTATCTCTCCACCATCTCCTATCTCCCCACCATCTCCTGTCTCTCCACCATCTCCTGTCGCTCCATCATCTCCTGCCTCTACCATTGCTGCCCCTCCTCCTCTTCCAGTTCCTCCTATCTCTGCGTCTACATCACCTGCAGTTACCGTTTCTGCCCCAACCGCCACCTCTGCTGGCTCACTCAAATCTGCCGCCCCAACCACCTCTGAAACATTCCCTACAGGGCCTACACCCTCGTCTGAAACATTCCCTACAGGGCCTACACCCTCGTCTGAAACATTCCCTACAGGGCCTACACCCTCGTCTGAAACATTCCCTACAGGGCCTACACCCTCGTCTGAAACATTCCCTACACCCTCGTCTACAAGATCCCAAGCACTCCCAATTGAATCACCATCTGCACCGTCGTCTGAACCCTTCTCTGCGCACTCAATCTCACCTCCATCTGCACAGCCCTCTGCGACCCCACCTGCACTCGCATCCACAAATCCCTCTGCAGCCTCTGCGACCCCACCTGCACTCGCATCCACACAACCCTCTCCAGCCTCATTCGCTCCCTCTTCGACCTTCACATCCTCCTGTCTTTCCCCCTCCCGTCTTCCCTCTCCCTCTCCATCCTCCTGTCTTTCCCCCTCCCGTCTTCCCTCTCCCTCTCCATCCTCCTCCGCCGCCTCTGCTGTGACCATCTCAGTGATCCCTCCTTCTTCTGCCTTTATCTCGGCTGCACCCTCTTCCTCCCCCTCTATCTCGGCTGTGGCATTTTCCTCCCCCTTTATCTCGGCTGTGGCATTTTCCTCCCCCTTTATCTCGGCTGTGGCATTTTCCTCCCCCTTTATCTCGGCTGTGGCATTTTCCTCCCCCTTTATCTCGGCTATAGCTTCTTCCCCCACCTTTATCTCCGCTGGTCCCCCTTCCTCCGCCTTAACCTCGGCTACATCCCCCTCCTCCGCCTTTAACTCAGCTGTACCTTCCTCCTCCGCCTTAACCTCGTCTACATCCCCCTCCTCCGCCTTTAACTCAGCTGTACCTTCCTCCTCCGCCTTAACCTCCGCTACATCCCCGTCATCTGCACCTATAGCAGCAGTAGCCCCTTCTCCTACCTCTTCTACCTCATTAGTATCCCCTTCATTAATATCACCTTCCAGCATCTCCACGTCAGCTGCACTTTGCAGCCGCCCAGCATTGCTTTCAGGTGCCCCCGCATCACCTTCAGGTGCCTCAACATCGCCTTCAGGTGCCTCAACATCGCCTTCAGGTGCCCATACACCGTCTTCAGGTGCCTCAACATCGCCTTCAGGTGCCAATACACCGTCTTCAGCTGCCTCCACACTGTCTTCAGGTGTTTCCCACTGCGGCAGTTCCGAGCGAACGAACGCAGCAACAGCCTCGTGAACAGCAGTAAAAGCAGGGCCCAGCGCGGAAAGATGATGCAGAAGGCTGGGGATGTCTGCGGGGCTGTAATATGCAACCACATGGGTGCCATTGTGGCGCTCCTCCGACCTGTATTGGGATGGAGAGGAAAAAGGGGATGCGGAGAGGGGATTCGGATGTTTGCTCGAGCGGGCGCCCAAGGGCAAAAAGGAGAAACGATGGTGCACTGGAAGGGTTTTGCATGCAAAAAGCACAGGGACGGACAAACGAACTGTGGGCCGCACAGGATTTGTGTGCAACATGTTGATATGATTGTGGGATGATTGGCGTGCAGGTGTCTGATTTTGAGGCGCCCCAAAACTGTGGGCCGCGCAGGCTTTGCGTGCAACATGGTGTTTGTATATGATTGTGGGACGATTGGCGTGCAGGTGCGGTGTAGAAATTCTTTCAGGATGGGGCCAAAGGCTTCCGAGACAAAGGGACGGGGCCACTGGAGTTCTTCTGATAGTAACAAAAAAAAGAGAGAAGAAACCGCTTACACGACCACACGGCCACAGGAGCCATAGTACACCCGGCCATGCTGGTCCTCCCCCAGATGCTCCCCTCTCATCCCCTCTGGCACCACAGCCCCCAGCACCTTGCCCGCCCTCCTCTTCATGTCACACTCCGGGCAGAACCAGTCCCCATCCGGCAGTGCTGCCGCCACCACCCCCACACAGCGCGAATGAAACGCGCCTGGACAGCCGTCGCAGCAGATCAGATTGCCGTCCATTCCACACAGCTTGCACTCGTCCGCGTTCCCGTCTGCCAGCTCATCTCCCGCGCCTGCTGACTCAGCAGCAGCCCCCGTACCGGTCCCTACCCCTGATAACCCCGCCATACCCGAGGGAACCCCAGCAGCAGCAAGCGCGGAGATCCCAAGGCTCTGATACCCCACCTGCCCGAAATCCGCCTCGTCCTCCTCCTCACCTCCTCCTACCCTCCGCCCCCTCCTTCTCCTCCCCTGCCTCTCCACCGGAGCCAGCACATCCTCTAGATTCTCCTCCTCCTCCTCCATACCAACCCCTGCCAAGGCATACCTCCTTTCCAGTTCCCCTTGCCTGCGCTCAATCTCTAGACGCACCCTCACGCTGCTGCCTAGAGCTTCGTCGCAGAGAAGAGAGAGAAAGTCGATCTTGGTGGAGGCTGGGAGGAGGTAGTAGTCGCAGGAGGCGAGGGCGGAGTGGCCGAGCTTGCGGCTGTTGGGGCGGGAGGACGCGCGGGAGGAGAGGAAGAGGAGGAGAAACTCCGGCCAGGTGATTTCGTCCAGAGATGCTTTGTCCAGCTCCCTGTAATGCACGCTCTCAGATCTGTCTAGCTTCTTTGAACCCATGCCTCCCGCTCCCCCTGCGCCTCCCGCACCACCCGCGCCTCCCCCGCCACCCTCTCCCGTCGCTGCTGACGGTGGCTCGTCCTCCACCGAGCGCAGCAGCGCCACGTGGACGCTGTCTATTAGTGGGCTGGCGCGCGGGGTGGTGAGGGCGTGGCAGAACTGGTCTAGAGTGAACGGGCTGAGGAACAGCTGCTGACTGAAGGAACGAAGGAAGCAGTAGACGGAGAGGAGATCTAGAACGGACTCTGCTGGGACTGGCAGGTCGGTGGAGGAAGGCGGGAGGAGGGTTGAGACCGGTGGAGGTGGGAACGGAGGCGGTCTTAGGACATTATGGCGAAAAGTGTCGCGAAACTGATGGTGCGTGTAACCAGGGGTTGATACCAACGCGGATGGTGGTGTAGCGATCTCGGATACATGGCGTTTGTTGTAAGAACCTGGGAGGGCAGTGGGGGTTTGAATGGGTGACGGTGCATCTGGGGTAGGTGGCGGCGTGAGTCGCGCTGCGGCAGGGGGAGGTGGGAGCTGGAGAACAGGCGGCCCGCCGCGTGCAGGCAGCGCCAGAAGGACTTGCCGTTGGTCGATCTGCGACGCAAACAGATTCTGAAACGACTTGCCGTTGGAATGCTCTCCGCCCGAACTCGAAGGTCCACCATGACACGACATAACGTCCCCTCTAGCACCCCCCTCCTCCTGCACCTCCACATTCTCGTCCTCCTCCTCCACCTCCGCCTCTTCCGCCTCCTCCTCGCCATCGCTTTCGGTATCTCCGCCAGAGGCGCGCAAGGATCCGCGGGACCTTCGTCTACCGCCCTTCGTGGCCTTCCGCCCGGTCTTGCCCTGCGCGTGCTGCTTCAACTGGCTCTTAGCGGCGCGCGCTTGATTAATGGCATCTCTAACTGAAAGAACGGGCTTTCCCGCAGGAAATCCCCCTGCAGCCGCGGACGCGTCGGTTAATTCTAAATCAACAGTCTCGGAGGAGAGAGCTGCGTTCGTCTTGCCTTTCTGTAAAACAGCTTCAGCTGAAAACGGCAACTTAACGGTAGCTGTACCATCTAAGGCGGCTTGGCTTGGCTCGACTGACGTTCTGTCCGCGGCAGAATCAGTCGTCTGACGCCATGCAGCAGGAGACGGTTGTTTTCTCTTGGAAGAAATCGATGCAGGGGTTTGATCATCTGCATGAGTATCTTTCGCCACGGGAGTATGCTTACCTGCAAGAGAACGTTTATTCGCGACAAGTGGCGTGGAGGCTGCGCTATTAGCTCCTCCTAACGCCAGCGGTAAGGGAAGATTAGAGTTACGCTTCGGTCTCCCTCGCTTAACTATGATCCCTTCGAGCTCCTGTAACTCGACTTCTTCGCAATCGCCGTCTTCGTATTTGATCAGAAAGAAATTCTCGTCGGCATCGTACGATTCGACTCGACCCGTGAACCAGCCGTGCACTCCAAAATCCTTCTTCACTTTTCGACCTACGTAGCTCGAATGGTCGATCGCCGTCGCCTTAGACGCCATCGAGTTACTCTTACACGAAGCACAGTCGTTTAGATTGCTAATATACTAAGTACACTTATCGAAAGGCATCACGCCTCGTTGATACATTAACTACCCCCGGACAGTCGAGCTATCTGTGAAAGCCACACGACATGCTAGGAATGGCGGAAACCAACCTCGAGATATGCAAGGAATTGGCGGAAACCAACCCTGTGACCTCAGGGATAAGGCGAACACCGAGGAGAGTGACCATGAACCATGAACCTCGGGCAGGAGGTTGGCCTTGAAGGCAAATTTTGGAGTTCCCGAGGTTCATGCTGCCGCGCGGATCAGAATTTGAATGTTCAAACAAGTTGGGGTCGGGCAGCTGAGAAAAATATTAGTGGTGATAGGATGACGGGCTTTTGGTTGGTGGCGAAACGGTGGGGAGGACGTGCGTCTGCGATTTTGTTCGCGAAGCTCGGGTCAGCCTGGACGAGGATTAGCGAATCGTAAGAGCTTCGTCGCCACGGCTCCGTGCTGTGCGCGATTGGCTGCTGCTTGAACCACTACACTTCAAAGTATAGAATGCATTGGTTCGCGCCAAAAATCACAGTTCCTTCAGTGAGCCAGTTCACCAGCTTTTCTAGTTTCCGAGGTTCCAAATCCACCACTTATGATTGGATTGGAGCGATAGTGCGGTGCGGTCTAGCCACAATTTGCTAGCAAGTCAACTGATTCAAGGTGTTCCTCCCTACCTCTCAAGCCGCCCCTTACTCTTGGAACCGCTAGCTTCTCAAGCACCTAGCTTTGACATCTTCTCCATAATGCTTTGCCTGAGCAGCTGTCTCCCGCTCTGGTTGTACCTCCAAGGCCTCCATAATGGAGGAAGTGAATACATACCACAAAGTTCATAAGGTGTACATGGACTGTTTTGAGAGTTAAATGCACTATCAAGGCACAGCACCACCGTTTCGTCATCACACACAAAACAGGTACATGGAAGAACCACCTTCGTGTACAAACCCTATCATCTTTGTTGGACCCAAAGCAAAAAGCTCCAAACAAGCTCAACTGTAATCGTATCATTTGCACATATTGCTCATCCTTCATATAAACATGTCACCCACATACAGTCCTATCCTTCCATCCTTCTGCCTTATCACCTTCGTGGTGCTTGCAATGAGAAGCCAGTCCCTTTTCTGCCAGACCCACCAGCATCATCACCACCACCGAAAAAACCACCACCACCACCAGCATTCACCGTTTCGCTGCCACTCGTCCTGCTTGCAGCCCCCACCTCTCTATCCCTCTCCTGTGACCCCACATTTCCAGCTTTCCTCAGCTCACTTGCACCAGTGGTTGCTGCTGCTGCACCTGTTACAGTATCACCCGGTACAGTCACATCCGTAGGGGCGCTCGGTACAGTCACACCTGTAGGGGAACCGGACACGGTCTTATAGATAGCGAGTGCTTGCGCTACCATGGACGAGGGGTCGCCCACGTTGCTCGGCAGCAGCACTGTTGTTCCCTGCTTCGCCAGATTCGCCAGAGCTGCCACGTACTGCTCTGCCACTCGCAGGCTTGCAGCCTGAATTGGGGGGGGTGGTAGGGTGGAAGGGAGGGGTGGGTGGTGGGGAGGCAAGAACGGTCAAGATAAGGATGTCACCATCTGATTGGGAATCACTTCTGAGAATTCTCAAAAGAATCACTTTTTAGAATTCTCAAAAATGTCACCATCTGATGTGCTTCCCTGCTTGGCTAGGTTTCCCAGCGCTGCCGAATTCTGCTCTGCCACTCGCAGGCTTGCAGCCTGAATGTAGTGGGTGGTGGTTGAGATGAAGGAGGGAAACAAAAAAGGACATGATTAAAAGATATTTCGGCACCTGATGCCCCGTACTACTCTGCCACTTGCGGGCTTGCAGCTTGATCGGACGAACGGGCAGAAGAGAGGGGGAGAAAGGTTGGAAGGAAGAGGGGAAAACAAAGAGCTGTCACGAACAAGATTGGTGGCCGGACTTACCAGTGCTCCCATGGACTAGTCTGCCACTTACAGGCAGTGAGAAGGGAAAAATCCGATTCCCTTCAATAGGAAGTACAAGGACTGAAAGGAGAAAGAAGGATGAGCTGAGCAGAACTGAACCCATCAAGGCTACATCATACGCACACCAGTCTCTCTCTCTCTCACACACACACACACACACACACACACACAAACACACACACACACACACACACACACACACACACACAAACACACACACACACACACACACACACACACAAACACACACACACACACACACACACAAACACACACACACACACACACACAAACACACACACACACACACACACACACTCACACACACACACACACTCTCACACACACACACACAAACCTGTGTAGCCCCTTCAACCATGAGCGCTCTAGACAGCATGCCAAAGCCCCCCCCCGCTTACGTTTAAGTGCCGCCCCGTAAGCCTTGCAATCCACGCCCCTCACAAGCACAGCAAACCATACGCTCTGCCTTCATGCCTTTGAGAAACACACCTGGCTTGCCCCTTCAGCCATGAGCGCTCTAGACAGCATGGCGATTCCCTCCGCTGATGCCCTCGCCCTTGCCACTATTGCCTCCGCCTCTCCTGCAAGGCGTGGGCGAATCGGGGGGGGAAAGTCAAGTGGGTAGAGAGAGAGAAGAGAAGCATGGAAATTGGAAACCAGCGCGAATCATGCTAATGCCCTCGCCCTGATGCACTCGCCCTTGCCACTATCGCCTCCACCTCGCCTGCAAAGCGCATGTGCGGGGGAGGGGGAGGGCAGGGGAAGGGAAGCACATGGAAGGGCACAGGGTGAGAGAAGCAGGACAGTGAAAGAGCGCCGTGTGTGAGCCTTTCAGGACAGGAGAAGGGAATTTGGACGCCAGGACAGGAGAAGGGAATTTGGACGCCAGGACAGGAGAAGGGAATTTGGACGCCAGGACAGGAGAAGGAAATTTGGACGCCAGGACAGGAGAAGGGAATTTGGACGAGCGAAGGAAGGGAGTATGGGGAAGGGAGAAAAGAATAAAGCATTTCTGGTTTTGAGACGTCAAAAGAGTATTGGTGATAGTTTCCCTGAGCCTAGAGCCTTGGAGCCCGAGCCTTGGTGCCCGAGCCTTGGTGCCCGAGCCACGTACCCTTGGCTCGGTTCATCTGGTCTGACATGGCGGCCTCTGATTCGAGGATGACTGCCGTCTTGCGCCCCTCTGCCATGTTTATGTTCGCCTGGCGGTCACCTGATGAGGAGAAGGGAGGGGAAGGAAGGGGGGGGGGAAGGGGGGAGGGGTACACGAGCAAAGGGAAAGGAGATGGGGAAGGGAAAGGGCAAGGAAATGTGGATTGGGATATACAGTTGTGATTTGATTAACCACTGCAATTGGGCAAGGAAACGGGAAACAGGAAGGGGACAGGGGGGAGGAGGAGGGAAGTCTCAACAAAACTCGTACCCTCTGTAATCAGACAATAGCTTACATTTGAGTAAACATTTAGAGTATCAGACTACAGACTCTACAGAAAATAACACTCACCCTCTGACTCGAGCACTTGTGCACGCCTCCGCCTCTCTGCCTCAGCCTGCATCTCCATGGCTGCCCGCACGCCAGGTGGGGGCGAGATGTCACCTGCGGGCATGCGGCACATGCAGAGGTGAGAAGGTGGGGGTCTCAATCAGGACAATGACAACACGCCGATCCCGTGGATCCGCCCGCCTCAGCCTGCACCTCCATGGCTGCCCGCACGCCAGGTGGGGGCGAGATGTCACCTGCGGGCATGCGGCACATGCAGAGATGAGAAGGTGGGGGTCTCAATCAGGACAATGACAACACGCCGATCCCGTGGATCCGCCTCTCTGCCTCAGCCTGCATCTCCATGGCTGCCCGCACGCCAGGTGGGGGCGAGATGTCACCTGCGGGCATGCGGCACATGCAGAGGTGAGAAGGTGGGGGTCTCAATCAGGACAATGACAACACGCCGATCCCGTGGATCCGCCCGCCTCAGCCTGCACCTCCATGGCTGCCCGCACGCCAGGTGGGGGCGAGATGTCACCTGCGGGCATGCGGCACATGCAGAGATGAGAAGGTGGGGGAGTCAGTCAGAGCAGTGATGACATGCCCATCCCGCTGATTCGCTTCAGCCTGCACCTCCATGGCTGCTCGCACTCCAGGTGGGGGCGAGGTGTCACCTGCGGCACGTGCCATAGGCCAGGTGGCATGCGGCGGGTGAGATGTGCCGTGCGAGGTGGCATGCGGCGGGTGAGATGTGCCGTGCGAGGTGGCATGTACAGAATATCTATTAGTCTGGTGACAGATTTTAGAGGCGCCACGAAAGTAGGCCATGTGTAGAATTTCTATACGCCTGGTGAAACACGTGGGGATGCGACATGACATACGTGTGCAGATGTTTGAATCCGAATAACAAGGGTTGCATGCATGCATGCATGCATGCTGACCAATTTGTCAAAGAAGGGTTGGAAGTAAAGAAGGGAGAGAAGGACGGGCTGTGTGAGAGTGGTACGTACGGATCTTCACTCATAGCGTGCATTGAATGGCTGAGTGCATTTGAGGAGCCTCAAAAGCAACCTCAAGGAAGGGCTGTGTGAGAGTGGTACGTACGGATCTCGTATCTCAGGCACTCAATGCCCCATGCCTGCCCCGCTTCATTGATCGCCCTCTGCTCACATCACACACACAAGCAGCAAGGGAAACATGCGACAAGCGAGAGGAAGGATGAAGCAGAAGAACGGAAGGAACTTTACATGCGGCATGCACAGACCTCCCAGCACAGCACACACCACTCTAACCACGCACCCCCTGATACCACTCCCAGCACGCACCACTCCCAGCACGCACCACTCCCAGCACGCACCACTCCCAGCACGCACCACTCCCAACCACGCACCACTCCCAACCACGCACCACTCCCAGCCTTACCACAATATTGGTGTTGAGAATATCGCGTTCTTCAAATGTGTTGTCGAGAGTGATCTTCCCCAGCTCGCTGCGCATGGTCGTCTGGGCCAGCTGCACCACTGCGTACAGCGGCCGCTCCACACCGTACGATGCCTGCACCGGATCCACGATCTGACGGTGGAGGACGCACCACCATCAGGTGGAGATAACAGAGCAGGGGGAGAAGGGCAGACGAGGGCAGAGGAGGGCAGAGGAGGGCAGAAGAGGGCAGAGGAGGGCAGAGGAGGGCAGAGGAGGGCAGTGGAGGGTAGAGGAGGGTAGAAGAGGGTAGAAGAGGGTAGAGGAGGGTAGAGGAGGGTAGAGGAGGGTAGAAGAGGGTAGAGAAGGGTAGAGGAGGGTAGAGGAGGGTAGAGGAGGGTAGAGGAGGGTAGAAGAGGGTAGAGAATGGGGGAAGGGTTCATTCCAGGGAGAGAACTCCACTGGGACAATCATCACAATGATTCCAAGAGTGACCACTGAATCGTCGATTTCAGCAGCCTTAGGAACACCGTCGATTACAATCGTACTGTGACTCACCCGGACGTAAAGAACACCGTCGATCTGGATGCTGACGTTATCCTTGGTGATTGCTGATTGGTTCGGAATCGGGATCGCCTCCTCTTTCAGCGAGTGCACGTACGCGATTCGGTCTACTAACGGTATTAAGAGATGGATTCCGGAACCTAAAGTCTTGTAGTACTTTCCGAATCGCTCTATAACGTAAGCGCTTTTCTCGGGCACGATCCGCACGCCCCAATTGGTCAGCGAGGCTGAAGATGCTCCCAGATTTTGCCACGTGTCCTCAGATCCGAAGCCCCAGCCATTGCGAGCGGTGGGGATTCCACTGTGGAAGGGGCGATTGCTGGGACCAATCAGAGACGAGAATGACGTGGATGATGACGTGGAGGAAGGTTTGTGGTGGGAGATGGTAGGAGAGAAAGCGCGCCTCGGAGCTAAGCTTGAAAACAATCTTCTAATGGACCCGTCGATCGGGCTGCTCACTGCGCCGTTAATTGCGCCGTTGATTGCGCCGTTGGTCGCGCCGTTAATCGCGCTCGATTCGGCAAGAGCAGCTAACGGCGCCGCATCTCTCGGCACGGAAGGGGATCGCGGCGCGAGCAGCTGGGTATGTCGCAGCAGCGCAACGGCGGCAGCAGCGGCTGGTGCCGCAAGATGCGCGGCGCGGTACAGCTCCCGCTGTCGCGCTGCCACGTGGCCTAGCATGATTCAAAAGCGGCTTCAAAATTTGGCACATATAACGGGTCAAACTGTAACGGAAGCAAATCAGATAACATATAACGGGTCTACCTAAAACGGAAGCAAGTGTTGGCAAACCAGACACTGATCGCATACTAAGGGTAAGAGTTACAAGCCACCAGAACCGGCAATATCGATGAGATGACCCTTGCACTACGATGGTTCCCTCGCTGCTGTCCTGCTCTCGACATACATAATCTAGGCCAGCTGATTGTAAGCGCTGTAAGGAGTTTGCGTGTGCGACTCGGTTGACGTGTCTGTGTCCACTAATGTGCCTGTTGAATTGTGGAGATGCTTTTTACAGAATGGTCCGATTTAAACGTGTTACTACACGACTTCGACTTCCAACCCTACATCACCCAATTTAACCAGTAGTACTGGTAAGTTGCCCTCTTCGACTCAAACTTACATGTCACTATCTCCTCACTTATGTGTTCTCTTCTATCGACTATTTTAAGCCCAAACCCCCTTTTTTTTTCTCTTGTCAAAGTGTCTTCAGCCATATCCTCATGGTAAATGCCAGGTGGGGTGGGACCACGGGGGGATCAAGTTACGAACAGGTGTGCACTGTTTATGTAACACAAGAAGCATTCTTCGCTTCTTTCTTGATAAGTGCATCAGTAGCATTGGATGTGACATGACATCTGTCAGGAAAATTCACAACTGCAATTTTCAGCCTGCTCTTTAACCAACCATGGCTCTTTTCCTCCCTCGTAGTCGAACTGGAACGGCGGGTTAGGCAGGAGAAAAACGTACCAAGTACCACCAAACATGAGTGAAACACACTTGGATATGCGCCTGAAAGACTGGGAGATTTGCGATACATGCCCTTATCCCCAGCTGGTTCAGTGTGGCACTCCGGAAGTGTCTACTAAAAAATCACCCTCAGCTTGGCAAGGAGCGAGGGTGGAGGATGGGCTCTTACCTTGCCCCAGCTTGTTCAGTGTGGCGCTCCAGAACCGTGAATGGTGACGATATGATGTCAGCACCGCCGACATCTGATGTCACACATGGATAAGATGAACAAACAAGCAGGAAGACATTGGAAATGCTTTCATTCAAGAGCGATGCAAGAGTCAAAACAAGGGAAGAACAAGCACGAAGAAGAAACTGGGGAGGGGGTGACGGCACAGGGGAGGAAGGACGGCCAACTTTGGAGCAGCGCGGTGAGGAGAAAGGAAAGGCAGGCTGGCTTGCAAGTGGTGGGTGTGTCTGGTGTGAAGGGTAAGAACGAACAATATCCCCGTTGCTGGAGTGCAAGGAGATGAGTGCCCGCTCAAGCACGTAGAGGTCGACAGCCTTGTCCTCCGCAATGGTGGAGTTGAAGCTCAGCCCAAAGTCTATCACCACCACGCGCTCCCTATCCGCCCCTACTACCCCCACTGCTGCTGCAGCCGCCCCCGCTGCTGCAGCCGACCGTGCTGCTGCTTCGGATGACACTGCTGCTGAAGTTCCTGCTACTGCCCCTGCTCTTATTACAGCTGCACTGGATCCAGCAGCAGCGCGAATGGCAGCGGCAGCAGGGAGGGGCGAGAGCAGCATGTTGGAGGTGGTGAGGTCGCCATGCACCATGCCCCCATCGTGCAGCTTTGCAATCGCCTCGCCCATCCATGCCGCCACCTCCGCCACACGCGGGTGTAGCCCCCCACCCATGCCACTGTCACTGCCGCTGCCCCTTCCCTTGCCCGCACCCATGGGTGTTTCCTCGCCTGTGCCTGCCCCAGTGTCTGTGCCTGTGCATATGCTCGTAGCTGGTTCTGTGCTGGTATTGGCGGCAGCAGCAGCAGCAGCAGCAGCAGGGGGGGAGTGGTGCGCGAGGGAGAGGAAGAGGTCTTTAACGCTGTGGCCCGCCACTCGTTGCATCACGATGCACCGCTCCCCCTCCTCCACACCGTACAGCACCGGCACTGCTACTCCGAGCTTCGCCGCCCGCACCATGTTCCTCGCCTCCTGGGATCAGCAAGAGGGTGTAAGGGTGTAAGAGAAGGGAGTTGGCAATGCATCTATACTATATAAATACTTCTATGCCACTTGCTCCCCTCCTCCACTCCTTACAGCACCAGCACCGCCACGCCAAGTTTCGCCGCCCGCACCATGTTCCTCGCCACCTGGGAGTAAGAAGAGGGAGATAGAGCAGGGGGTTGGCAATGCATTGGTGTTGATCCCTCTCCCTCTTCTGCTCCGCCTCCTCCACTCCGTACCGCACCAGCACTGCCACCTCTAGTTTTGCTGCGCGCGCCATGTTCCTCGCCTCCTGGGAGTGGAATGGGAAAGACAGTAAGAACAGAGATTCGGCAGGGCATCTATGTGTCAATCCCTCTTCCCCTCCCACTCCCCCTCCTCCACTCCGTACAGCACCAGCACTACTACCCCTAGCTTCGCTGCCCGCACCATGTTCCTCGCTTCCTGGGAGTGGCGTAGGGGAGGGAGCCCGATGAGTGGGGGAGGGAAGGGATCGGGGAGTGGCAGAGAATACTCGCGAGAATACTTGTTCTAAAAGCGGAGAATACTCGCGAGAATACTTGTTCTAAAAGCGGAGAATACTCCCGAGAATACTTGTTCTAAAAGCGGAGAATACTCGCGAGAATACTTGTTCTAAAAGCGGAGAATACTCGCGAGAATACTTGTTCTAAAAGCGGAGAATACTCGCGAGAATACTTGTTCAAAAAGCGGAGAATACTCGCGAGAATACTTGTTCTTAAAGCAGCATGGCATGGGAGCGGCAGAGAATACTCTCGAGAGCATGCCCGGGAAGGCTCATTGGGGTGCGGTGGGGGAGAGGTCACAGCGGGGGAGAGGTCACAGCGGGGGAGAGGTCACAGCGGGGGAGAGGTCACAGCGGGGGAGAGGTCACAGCGGGGGAGAGGTCACAGCGGGGGAGAGGTCACAGCGGGGGAGAGGTCACAGCGGGGGAGAGGTCACAGCGGGGGAGAGGTCACAGCGGGGGAGAGGTCACAACACAGGAGCACTCACCGTGTGCAGGCGCTTGGAGGTGAGTCGCGCGTCCAGCGTGGGGTGGCGGTACTTCTTCTCAAAGCGCTGCTTCAGTATCGCCGGCCGCCCGCAGAACGTTGCTGCGAACACTCTCTGCGATCACGGGGTGATGCGATGGTGGGATGGTGAGATGGTGGGATGGTGAGATGGTGGGATGGTGAGATGGTGAGATGGTGAGATGGTGAGATGGTGAGGTGGTGAGATGGTGAGATGGTGAGATGGTGAGATGGTGAGATGGTGAGATGGTGAGGTGGTGAGATGGTGGGATGGTGAGATGGTGGGATGGTGAGATGGTGGGATGATGAGATGGTGGGGTGGAATGGAGGAGGGAGGTGGAAGGATGAGGAGCAGGTGGGAGCGGGTGAGGGGGAAAGGCCTGGGGAGGGGGGAGGGCCTGGGGGGGGGGGGGGAGGGAGAGAGGACGTTCCCATTGGCTGGCCGCAATCCATTCCTCGCGGACAACCGTGGCTTTAAGCGCTGACTGAATTGATGAGCACCGCGTGCGCTAATGGAATTGAATGGTCGGCGACCGGGACTGGTTACAACGGGTATGCGTACAGCTTCTGCGCCTTGGCTGATGAGCTCCGCTGACGCCAGAAGGAGCGACAGCCCCTGCTTCGGCGCACCGCTGGTGTCCATCAGCTCCGCTCCCCCAGCTTCTCCCTTTTTCCCCGTTTCCCCCTGTGCGGGCGCTTCCCCCTGCACGTTCGCCCCCTCCTGCGCGCTCCCCCTCTCTCCCCCTTGCGGCGGAGCTGATATTTCTTCCGCCATTGGTGCGCGGAAGCGGATTACTACCAAGATTCTTGAGTGCAGATAACGGAGATGAACGGCGCACAAGCGGGTCTAATGTGCTGCTAACACATTAGTTCAGACAAAACTGAATAGAACGATTGTGCACCTCTATAGCGGATATATTAACGCGGATAACGAATCAAAACTCTCAATCGCGCGGTCATGGGGGGTTAAGCTTCGATACAGTGGGCCTTGCATCCGTTGTGGTCATTCCCGTTTGTGAAAAACGTGTACGCCTTTTACAGACCCGATTATCACAGATTTCCGATAAAGCTCCTTTCCCACCTCACAGATCTTTCGGCTGAAATTGGCGCGCCATTGAGCTGCCGCGTGTCATTCATCATCATTTGGAAGTTCACACGCTGGGTACGACAGATTTTTCGCACCGTCACACGAGCTATCCGATGACTCAGCAAGATGACAGAAGTTGGAGGTTGAACGAACGGCGTCGATGCACTTGGGTCGTGTCACTTGGGACAACGCACGTGCGTCTCCCTGCCAGATCTTTCCAGGTGTGCTGTAACCTCGCAGTAGTTCTCGTTCATATCTTCGCTCGTTTCGTTTACATCTTCGTCACTTGTGGTATCTCGTTGTCTCCTGAAGCTGCATTCGAGACCTTCTTGACCTCGAAAACTCCAACTCGTGTCCACGTTTTCCAGCATCACATCGCATTCCATCTGACCCCATCCCTCTCCACTCCCTTACTTGCACTTTCCCCCTCGACCTCGGGATAGCATTGATCCCCCCTGCCTCCTAAACTCACCAGCTATGAATTCCAGTCTGCTGAAATCACGGCTGCTTCTCCTCATTTTGCTCTTTTCGAGATTCCCTTCGCCTCTTTCCTGTTGATTCCTTGGAATCCAGCTTGGTAGGGTGTGTCACTTGCTGAATTAGTTTCTGTGGAGTTCAATAGCCGAGCAGAGTGAATATAGAACAGCCGTTGCGACGTCTCGCATTTCCTTGGTTGAAGTAACCTGGTTCTCGGTGCAAAACAACATCCTCTTCTCAGAGCACAGGGAGGATGGAAGCCATGGCTGCGTGCGCTCCAACGCGGAGTCTCTTAAACCGGACGGTTGCCGGCGTCCGTTGCCTATCCGGAGAATCTCTAGGCCAACCACTTCACACCAGACCATTGATCAATATCCCGCGAGCCAAATCCCTCATAAAAGACATTCCCAGTGGAGCGTCCCGGCGACTTACGGTAGAATGTAACAACGTACGGAAAACGAAGAGAGCACCCATGGATCCGGACTACCCGTGGCCGGACAAGTACCACGCGGAGGAGAAGGGTTTCCTCGCGTTCTTTTCCAAGAGCAAGGAAAACACCGGGAAGAAAGGCAAGCCCATGATGCTGCCGTTCGAGCGGCCGCTGGAGGACCTGGAGAAGCGGATTAAAGAGGTCAGGCATCGCATCGCTCTGCACCGTATCCCACCGCATCGCATCGCACTGTATCGTACAACTTTGTGCATCGCATCGCATCGTGTCGTATCGTATCATTTGACTCTTTGGCATTCCGGCCTTCACACAATGCTCTTCCTAACGAGAACATTTATAAAACAGGGGGCCTCGGGATTCACGACGCAGCCTCAACTTTCATCTGTTCCGAGTGGAAGCGACGCTACCTGTCAAGTATGAAGCATTGTGTTACGCTTGGTCGTACCGTTACCGTCTGCTGACTTGCGTCGCAGGTTCGCGATCTGGCGACGAAGACGGGGATGGACTTCACCGAGCAGATTCACGAGCTGCAGGAGAAATACGACCAAGTGAGCTGCACCACTTGAGCTGTTGCACAGGTTATGAGGCGCTCAGGACCTGCAATGTCTGACGTGTTGCACTGTCTGTCCTCTTCACGTGTCTGCTCTGTTCTTTTGGCTTTTCTTGTTTTTTTTCTCATGCGCGTGCTTGCGCATACTGCTTTGTTTCTTTGCTTTTTCTCTGTCCCGTGGCAGCTGAAGCGCGACATCTACCTCCGCCTCACACCGGTGCAACGTCTGGGCGTGGCGCGCCATCCCAACCGTCCAACGTTCCTCGACCACATCCTCAACATCACAGATAAGGTGACGCACTGCCACTATCATGGCGATATGCTCTAGATCCACGGCCCGCAACATAAGAACGCCACTCTAAGTGACTGTTTAATCAACTGACAAGCCACATCCTGACCTCACAGATAAGGTGACGCACTGCCACTATCAAGTCGATATGCACTAGATCCACGACTCGCAACATAAGAACGCCACTCTAAGTGACTGTTTAATCAACTCACAAGCCACCTTCTGAACATCACAGATAAGGTGTTGCGCAATCACTATCAAGACGATATGCACTAGATTCACGTCACCATAAGGTGTCTCACTGCCATTCTCGAGCATGCTTACAAGCATTGCTTATGCTTGTCGCCGCGCACCTCCGACGCCATGCAGTGGGTGGAGCTGCACGGCGATCGCGACGGGTACGACGACCCGGCGCTGGTGGGTGGCATGTGGTCGTGGTCAACGCATGCTTTATTAGTTTGCACCCCCAACCTGCTTTCCCCCAACGTGCTGTCCGCCAACCTGCTTTCTCCCCGCCCCTCTCCCATCATGCAGTGGGTGGAGCTGCATGGCGATCCAGTGCTGGTATGCGGGCTGCCTTTGGTTATGATTGGGGCTGACACATAGCTCTGTTCCTTTGCATCCTGCCGTTGCGTTCTTTCTGTGCTTCTCCCATCACGCAGTGGGTGGAGCTGCACGGCGACCGCGGAGGCTACGACGACCCGGCGCTGGTGTGCGGGCTGGGGCGCATCGACGGCATGAGCTTCATGTTCATGGGGCATCAGAAGGGCCGCAACACCAACGAAAACATCTACCGCAACTTCGGCATGCCGTCTCCGAACGGGTGAGTCACCAAGTGCTGGTCCTCTAGCGAAGTTGAGGCTCTCCCTGTTTGTACTTCATCAAACAGTAGCCATGAGCACATGCTGTCAGAGTATATGCTTCCGTCGTTTACCCCGCACCCTCAACCCATCGTTTCCCCTTTTTCCTCCCCGTTTCTCTCCACCCTTCCCCCGCCCCTGCAGGTACCGCAAGGCGTTGCGGCTGATGCGGCACGCAGAGCACCACGGGTTCCCCATCGTCATGTTCATCGACACTCCGGGCGCCTACGCTGGCATTCAGGCCGAGGAGCTGGGACAGGTGGGTTGTGGAGGGAGGGTAGGGTGGGTTGATGGGGAAGGGTAGGTGCATTAGAGAGGCTATGGGAGCGGTGGAAGGAGGGAGCACCACGGGTTCCCCATCGTCATGTTCATTGACACTCCGGGCGCTTACGCGGGCATTCAGGCCGAGGAGCTGGGGCAGGTGGGTGGATGGGGAAGGTGGTGAGGGGATCGGGGATGATAGGTGCATGAGAGTGGGCATGGGAACGGTGAGAGCATCACGGCTTCCCCATCGTCATGTTCATTGACACGCCGGGCGCCTATGCTGGCATCCAGGCTGAGGAGCTGGGACAGGTGGGTGGAAAGGGAGGGGTGGGTGGAATGGGGAGGGTAGGTGCATGAGATGTACCTCCTACGCACCTCACCTCACCCCACGCGCCCGCCACAGTGCGAGGCCATAGCGTACAGCCTGAGGGTGATGTTTGACCTCACAGTGCCCACCATCTCAGGGGGGTCTATGTTGATTTGGCCTCTCCCCATCCCCCCCGTTTCCCCCATTTCTCCCCCGCCGCGTGCCCCTCCGTCTCCCGCAGGGCGAGGCAATCGCGCACAACCTGCGGGAGATGTTTGGACTCACAGTGCCCACCATCTCTGTCGTTATTGGGGAAGGAGGGTCGGGCGGGGCTCTCGCTATAGGCTGCTGCAATAAGATGCTCATGCTCGAAAACGCCGTGTATTATGTTGCCAGGTGAGGGGAACACGAGGGTGGTGGTGATGAGGTCAGGTGGTCAATCAAGTGGGCTATCAGGTGGACAGTCACGAGTGTCAGGTGAAGATGAGACGATGAAAATGAGTGATTGTATGAATAGGCTATCACACGGGATCGGTTGAATCGGAATAACACAATACAATACTCAGTAAGCGGACATCCCTCTTCCTCCCTCCCACCCTCACACACACCTAATCATCCACCTCCCCCACCCCTCCTGCTCACTGCTCCCTGTGTGCGTCTCCTCTAGTCCCGAGGCTTGCACTTCCACTCTCACCCGCCTCAAGTTTTCAAGTTTCGCCTCGAGTTGACTCAGAAATCGTTTCACCCACCTCAGACTTCTCTCCCACCCTCGCACGCGTGCGCGCGCACACACACGCACACACACACACACACACACACACACACACACACACACACACACACACACACACACACACACACGCACACACACATCCTCGATTGCTCTCCCTTCTCCTCTCGCCCGCTGCTCCCTCTGTGTGTCTCCTCCAGCCCTGAGGCTTGCGCCGCCATTCTGTGGAAGACTGCTGCTGCTGCTCCCAAGGTACTGCCCGCATCCCCCTCTCCTTTGTCTCATTTTTTTTTTTCCCGATGTATCACCCAGAAGCTGAACCCAGCTCCACCTCCTCTCACGTGCTTCCTTCCGTCCACTTCTCTCCACTCCACTCCTTCCCCAAACGATCCTGGCCAGGCAACAGAAGCACTGAGGATCACAGCACACGAGCTGCAGAAGCTGAACGTCGTGGATGAAGTCATTCCGGTGAGTGGTGGATGAAGCAAGTCATTCCGGTCACTCCCCTCTCCTCCCCACTGTGCTCTCCCTCTCTCCTCCCCTCCTTGCGCCACCCCTCTCCTGTACTACCTTCCCAAGTCCTCCAATCCCCCAAATCCCGAATCCCGAATCCCCCAATTCTAAATCCCATCACCACCCGCCTGCTCGTCCTTTCCATATTCTCGCCAGAGAGTGAAACTACCCCTCGCTTTCCCGTGCAATTTCCTTAGCCACTCCCTAGCCACCACAAACCCCGCCTTCTGCACCCGCTGCTCCCCCCTCCCCTCCTCCTGCTGCCTTCAGGAGCCGCTGGGGGGAGCCCATGCTGATCCCGTCAAAACATCGCTCGCCATTCGATCCGCAATTCTCGCCAACATGAAGGTGAGACGTGTGAGACGTGAGTGAACAGTGTTTACACATCTCAGGCCTGTATGTGTGGAGAACGGTATCAAGGGCCCCTTCAACAATCAAGCGTCTAAAAGCTCTTTCAACATACATTCCCCTGTGCTCCGCCCCCCTTTGCTCCCTCCCTCTGCTCCCTCTGTGTGGCTATCCCCCACACCCATTCACGAGCTACTGAAACTTCAGCCATAGGAGGTGATTTAGCAGCGAGAGGCAAACCCTCTCTGATCATCCACCCGTCTCATCCCCTACCTCGTTCTTCCTCGCACCCACCTTCCCCATCGCCCTCATCCCCTTGCAGGAGCTGCTGAAGCTGAGCAGGGAGGAGGTGATTCAGCAGCGGGTGGGCAAGTTCCGCAGCATAGGCGGCTTCACAGAGGGCGTGGCAGTGGACCCGGCCAAGAAGCGCGCCTTCAAGAAGAAAGACAAGCCCGCTCCCATCCGCTCATCCCCCACCTCGCCCTTCTCTCCGCCCCGCTCCTCGTCCCAAGTCAACTCCAAGCCTGTTCCTAGTAAAGCCGAGAGCAACAATTAGGGGGGACCTTACCTGATGCTGCAGGTTGAGGTTCAGAGCACTGCTGTAGCAGGTGCTTCGTTTGCAGAGTGTGCTATTTTAAAGGACGTGACTAAAATGTGTTTTGATATTATATGATGGTGGGTGTTGGGCTGGGATAGCCCCTTAGGATCTTTTCAGGGGAGAACTCTGGGTAGGACAATTGTAATAGCGGAAGCTTTTAGTGAAGTAATTGTGAACCACCTTGCGCTAGTATGTGAGGGCAAAGTAGATTAATTATAACAGGAAAGTACAAGAATATATAGTGGTGTAAGGAATGTCAAAGGATACGGTTATAACTACTTTTACTGTTGCTGTTGCGGTTCGATACAGTACGACTCGGGCAACTGCTCTGTAACGAGTCAGTTGTATGTCCTTAACTGTCGCGCTGTACTTGTCGGGTCAAAGGTCAGCGACCTTTGACCTTCGCGTAACCTCCAGCAACCTCTTCAACCCCCGAGGGTTGACTCGCGGGTGCTTCGGTGTAGTTTGCCTCGCTTCTGATGCGGTGTTTTCGACACGACTGAAGCGCTTAGGTCTTATTGTTTCCAACACTCCCCTTCGCTTCTGGAGTGTCGCTGCTGGTGACGTGGCCCTGTCCAGTCAGCAGCATGCAATACTCGAACTTTTGCTTTCCGAGTTTCTTGGTCAAGTAGTCAGCTGCCATCTCGGATGTGGGGCAGTATGACAGCTCGAGTCTCCCCTTCTCGATCTCGTCCTTCACGAAGAAGTAACGTAGGGCAATATGTTTCGTCCTGTTCGCGAAGCCGTTCTTGTTGGCGATGCGAATTGCTGACTGGTTGTCGCAGAACACGTTAAAGTTGGGTAACTCGGCTAACTTCGCTTCTTCCAGTAGCTCGCGAAGATAGAGTCCTTCTTTGGTGGCTGAGCAGAGTGCGATATATTCTGCTTCAGCTGAAGATAGCGCGATTAACTCCTGCTTGCTTGACTGCCAGGAGATAGGACCGATAGGCTCGAGGCGGTAGACGTAGCCGGTGCGTGAGCGTCTGTTGTCAGTGTCGCCGGCGTGATCGGCATCGACGTAGCCGATTAGCTTGGTTGGTGTAGCTGCGTTCTTGTGATAAGTTAAGCCGATCATTGCGGTGCTGATAAAGTAGTGCAGAGCGCGGTCAAGTTCCGCCAGGTGTTCTGCTTCAGGCTTCTTGAGATAAGTGGCGAGCTGGCTTGCGGAGTAGGATAGGTCGGGTCGGCAAGTGACGGCTGCGAAGAGAAGGCAACCTAGCTTCCTCTGATAGTTGCGTATGCCGGCGGATTTAAGTGGGGTAGATTCCTTATCGGCTCCTGTCGTGTAGCGGTATGGTGTTGAAATCGCGGCTGGCGTAATTCCGAATCGTTTGGCGATGGCGTCGGCGTACTTTTCGGCGCTGAGGTAGATCGCGTCGTTATCTTCTCGAATGTTAAGTCCGAGATACTGTGTGACGGTAGATGAGACAGTGAGGGTGAGGTCCCTCTGCAGCTCCCCTTCGAACCAGGTGGTGATGCTGTCGGTAGAGCCGATGTAGAGAAGATCGTCCACGTAGACAATTAGCAAGATGTAGTCGCTGTTCTTCGTGAGGCGGTACATGCCCTGATCGTGCGGGAGTTGTTTGAAGCCGATGCGGATGAGACGAGTATGCAGGTACTGCTGCCACAGTCGCGGTGCCTGCTTGATCCCGTAAAGCGATTTTAGTAGCTGGCAGACGTGCGTGGAATTTGTGTTGGAGCCGTGCGGTAGTTCCACGAAAATCTCTGCATCGACCGGTGCGTAGAGAAAAGCGTTTGCGACGTCGATTTGGCGCAGTTTCTTTTTCTTCATAGCGGCGATGGCGAGAAGAATTCGAAGTGAAGTGTGGCGGCTGACCGGAGCGAAGGTTTCGGTGAAGTCTCGTCCATGTTCCTGGTCAAAGCCGCGAACGACCCATCGTGCTTTAAACTTGTCGATGGTGCCGTCGGCCTTCGTCTTCACACGGAAGACCCATTTCCCGGTAAGAATGGTCTTGTTTCGCGCTACACCGATGGGAACGACTTTCCAGGTGTTGCGTTCCTCTAATGCCTTCAGCTCCTTGTCCATGGCTTCGCGCCATTTTTCCTTATGCTCCCCCCCCAGAGCCTGCTGAACTGTCGCAGGCTCCTTAGGAATGTTGACGCCGTGGACCGCGGTGACGAGACCAAGGATTTGGAGTCCGCTCTGTGTGTAGCGGGGGAGTGTGGTGTCCTCGGGATAGACTGCTTCGTCTCCAGTTTCTGGATCGGGTGCGAAGTTGGGCCCTATGCGTTCTGCTTCGTTGGTGTTGACTTCAGCAGGTGTAACGTAACCGTTGTCGGCGAAGTGGTAGTAAGTTTCGGCGTTGACGCTTTCGCGAGGGTTTTCTTCGTCCATCGGTACGTCCACTGAGCAGTAGGGAAGAGGTCCGGCTTCTTCCGAGGCTCCTTCCACATTCTGCTCGTCCCAGTCAGCTTCGTCTTCTGTCGAAGCGAAGGCTCGATCGCCACGGAAGCCGCCTGTGGGGTCTCGATTTTCGTCCAGGTTGGCAAGGTACGTTGGCAGTGTGAGTCGTTCGTAGAAAATCACGTCACGTGCTGCTACTGTTTCTTTGCTGTTGATATCGAAGATCTTCCATGCGTTGTAATGTTTTTCGATGCCCAGGTGTAGTCCCCACTGTGCGCGTTGGGAGAATCGGCCGGCTCGTGCAGATGGGGGTCGGTACTGTACCATGCAGCCGAAGACTCGTAACATTTTTGTGCTGCCCAGTTTTCCTGTCCACAGCAGATGCGGTGATGTGTTGTTCGGGAGTGACGACGAAGAAAGCAAGTTGTGCAGCATCACGGCGTGGTCCATTGCTTCGGGCCACTGGTGGTTGGGTAGCCGCATGCCACGTAACAGTTTGCGCATGGTGTTCTGCAGAGTCCTGTTCATCCTTTCTGCTACACCCTGCTGTTGATGGGCGTAGGGAAGGGAGATGAGTCTCTTGATTCCCTTCTCCGCCAGGTACTGCTTGAATCGCTGTGACGAGTATTCTCCTCCTCCGTCTGATTGGAAGCTTTTGAGTTTAGCTCCCGATTCCCGTTCTGCTGCTGGAAGCCATGCCACGAAAGCCTCGAAAGCCATGTCGCGACTTGGTAAGTTTAGGTGCCAGACGTAGCGTGTAGCGGCGTCGATGAAGGTGATGGTGTAGTTATACGCGTTTTGTCCGGGTTCGCGGTTGTACAAGATGTCGCTGTATACTTTCTCGAGTGGTGCATATGCAGGTGCGCTTGGGTTGTGATGCGAAACGAAGGGCTGATGCGGTAAGTCAGCTTCGGGGCAGGTGAAGCATGTTCCTCGAGCTCGCTGAAGTTCTCTGCCGTCTGTTAAAAGCAGAGAGTCCTTGTCGAGTACTCCTGCTCGAATTGTGTTGTTTAACACAGTGTTGCTTGGGTGTCCCATTCTTGCGTGCCAGATTTCTTCGTTGGCGCGATGACCGGGTGAGCGCTGATACATGTCGGAGTTGGAGTAGAGACCGGTGGTGAAGTTGGGACTGTGATGAAATTCTCGTGGTGCTGGCTGAAGCTGTTGTGCAGGTGTTGGTGGTGCATCGTCGTTGAAGAGCGCCGTCGTTGAAGGACCGGCGACTGGTGTCGTCGTTGTCGCTGTTGCTGTTGTTGTCTCTGCTGCTGCCGACGTTGTCTCTGCTGCTGCCGATTGTTGAATCGCTGCTAATGCTCTTGTTCTCTCTGTTTCAGGAATGGTATGTGAATACCAGAAGCCGCCTGGACTGAAGTCGGGGTCAAGATCCGGAGGGTGTGTCCAGTTGGTAAAGTTGACTATGGCGTCACTGTCAGCGGTGCCGAGATCAGGAACGAAGTCCAAGACGAAGACGTTGTTTTTAAGGATTGCCTTCCCGATGTAAAGACCTCCTCTCCCGTGGTACAGCTTGAATTCTTGGGTAGTGCTGTCTGCTTCGAGGTGGATGCCTTTCGCCATCAACTGACTCACACTGAGAAGGTTGTATCCGAGGCCTTCTGCGATTAAAACTTTGGACATTTGCAGAATGACGTTTGTCTCCCGTGACTGAAGTTGTACAATTCCTTGTCGTCGTGTGTACAGGTTTTGATTATTGGCGACGGTGATGACGACCTCTCGTTGAAGCTGATACTCTCTCTGTACGAAGCGTCCCGAAGAACACATGTGTTGTCCGCAGCAACTGTCCAAGAACCACGTGTCTTTTCCGGATGGCTCGTTTTGGGCGATGGCAGCGTATGTCGGATTTGGTTGAAGTGCTTCGCGACGAGGTGTGGTGTTGTCGAGTTGTTCTTCCGGTGAGTAATGAGGTGGTGAATCCATGACGCAAGAGTCACTTAGTCTTGCCATGCAGCTAACGATGTTTCTTGCTCCTTGCGCAGGTTGTCCCGTTGAGGTTGTTGAAGCTTGGATCTGGGTCGTTGGATTTGCTTGCGTTGACGCAATTTGACTGCTTGAAGGTCGAAGGTGTCGTTGCGGGGTCGTTGACTGTTGACGATTCGGGCAGTGCGTGCGCGGGTGCCCTGAAGTCTTGCAGATGTGACAGAAGGGAGGTACTGGCTTCGGCTGTTGTTGTCTGTTGCTGTAGTTGTTGTGTCGTCGTTGGGTGTGAAATGCGAACTCTGACGTTGTCGTCTTCTTCCTGTGTCGTTCTTCTTGCAGATCCATGTCCTGCTGTTCGGCGTGGATTTCGGCGCAGAGTGCTGCCTCAGAAATTCGTCCGTGGGCTCGGAGGATGGCCTTTGTTGCGCGCCACTGAGGGCCGAGGCCACCGATGATGACCGTCACGAAGGCGTCCTCAGAGATTGATCCTCCACATCGAAGAAGCTTGTCGCGCAGTTCGCGACATCGACTGATATATGCCATTCCTTTCTCTCCTGGTTTCATCTCAACTGTTGTCAGCTGCGCCATTAACCTGCTCTGGTTTACACTGTCTGTTGCTTGATACAGGCTCTTCAGATGGTTGTACGCGAGCTCCGCC